CCTGCGGGGTTCTGTCTTAGTTTATGATGTGCTAATCCCCACGCCTTTTTTTATTTTTGATATTTATTATGATTTCTGATGATGTTGCTTGAAAATATCTTTTATTTTAAATATATTTTATTGCCGAAACCGGTTTGGCTCAGTAGATAGAGCGTCGGCCTGCAGACTGAAAGGTCCAGGGTTCGATTCCGGTCAGGGGCATGTACCTTGGTTGCGGGCACATCCCCGGTGGGGGGTGTGCAGGAGGCAACTGGTCGATGATTCTCTCATCGACGTTTCTAACTCTCTATCCCTCTCTCTTCCTCTCTGTAAAAAATCAATAAAATATATTAAAAATAAATAAATAAAATCAATAAAACATTAAATAAAAAATATTTTTTATTAATTTTTTTTTTACAGAGAGGAAGGGAGAGGGACAGAGAGTTAGAAATGTCGTCGATGAGAGAGAAACATCGATCAGCTGCCTCCTGCATGACCCCCACTGGGGATGTGCCCACAACCAAGGTACATGCCCTTGACCGGAACTGAACCCAGGACCCTTCAGTCCCAGACCGACGCTCTGTCCACTGAGCCACGTGGTCAGGGCGGAGCCATGTCTTGGTGCCGGTTTGGGGCACCCTCAGCCCTGGCCCCAGAGAGGACCCGCCCGCCGTGCAAGGGCCTCAGCGGGTGTGTCGCCCGCAGGTTCCAGGACCCCACCCAGTGGGTGGCCTACGCCGGCACCACGCAGCTCAGCGGCGCCGAGGCCAGCACGGTGCGCGCCCGCGTGGCCCAGATCATCCCGCACCCCTCCTACAACCCCGACACCGCCGACTTCGACGTGGCCGTGCTGCGGCTGGCCAGCCCGCTGCCCTTCGGCCGCCACGTGCAGCCCGTGTGCCTGCCCGCCACCACGCACGTCTTCCCGCCCCGCAGGAAGTGCCTCATCTCCGGCTGGGGCTACCTCAAGGAGGACTTCCGTAAGCTCCCTCCCGTGCCCCCTCCCCTCCCCTCCCCCTTCCCCTCCCCTCCCCTGTCCTCCCCTCCCCAGTCCTCCCCTCCCCTGTCCTCCCCTCCCCTGTCCTCCCCTCCCCTGTCCTCCCCTGGGCCCCTCCCCTCCCCTCCCCTTCCTCCCCTGTCTCCTTCCTCCCCTCCCTTCGCCTCCCCTCCCCTGTCTTTCCCCTGTCCCTCCGGTCCCCCCTTCCTCCCTCCCCTCCCCCACCTCCCCTCCCCTGTCCTCTCCTGTCCTCCCCTGTCCTCCCCTACCCTTCCTCTCCCCTCCCCTGTCTCCCCTCCCCTCCTCTCCCCTCCCCTGTCCTCCCCTCCCCTGTCCTCCCCTCCCTGTCCTCCCCTCCCCTCCCATCCCCTGTCCTCCCCTCCCCTGTCCTCCCCTCCCCTCCCCCCTCCCCTGTCTTCCCCTCTCCTCCCCTCCCCTCCTCTCCCCTCCCCTCCCCTCTCCTGTCCCCCTCCCTCCCCGCTGGCTGCCAGGAGCAGGCTTAACCACACAGCGCTCCCCGTTACCCACGATTCCCACTTGCTAATGTGTATCTGGAACCCCGAGTAGATACAGATGGGAATTTTGTGCTCTATTGCGGGCGCTTGAGTTGAGGACAAGCATGTTCTCATTAAGGTGAAGCCCTGCCTCCTTGTTTCAGCTCAGACTGTCAGCGAGGGTCCTCTTCATGGTATATTTACCGCCATGTTTTTGGGGGGGATTTGTGGGTTTTGTTTTTTTTGCATTTTTGTGCTTTCTGTGGCTGATTTTGCTGCCCCCTAGTGTGGCACACGAAGGCTGCCTGTGCCTCAGAGAAAAAAACGGCGTTAGATCAACTTCGTTTAGGCACGAGTTACAGCACCGCTGGCCTTGCGCTCAAGGTCACTGAAGGAGCACAGGGCTCCGCTGAGGAGACAGGCGAGGGTATTTATGAGGAAGGCAAGAGGAACGGTTACACCTACAGATGTTAGAAATAAGGCGAGCCCCCGAAGTCAGGGGTCCTGGTAGAACACAAAACACGCGGGAGCCAGGCAGCAAGGCAAACGTATTTACTGCCACGTGGAAGGGTGTGCACACGAGGTCTGGAAGCGCCTGCACACGGAGCAGGCAGGTGCTCGGCTTTATAATCCCTGACACATGCGACCTGTCCTTTGCTCTTGATTGGAGCTCAGGTGCACAGTCTTTCTCGATTGGCTAATTCAAAGAGAGGGGGGTTGGCCTTTGCAGTTTCAAGATGGCGGCCCCCTGGGGAGCTGCAAGCCATGCGGCCAACATGGCGGCTGCCAAGTCACGCAGTCCAAAATGGCCGCCGTCTAAACTGCTCTTTGACAGAGAAGATGACTTGTTTGTTCTCACGGTGCCCACAGCATGACATAGTGGTGTTTATCCTGAAAACTGCTTTTCCTCTTCAGCCTGGTAGCTGTCCACCCGGCAGTCACAATCTCTGCTTTCTTACTGTCTTTGCCAACAGTTCTTTGGGACACAAGGTTGCCCAAGCCCAGCCCAAGGGTTATTTAGCCCTGTTTTTTGTTTGTTTGTTTGTTTGTTTTAGTGAACCAATAAAGCTTTATCTATGAAAACAACTAGTGGAGATTCCAGTTAAGCACGTGCGTACACACACACACACACACACACACACACACACGCACACATACATGTGGCCTGAGAGATATGGTTGCTGACCCTTGCTCTGAGTCACAGTGGGATTAGTGGGAATGAAGATATGTCAGACGTGGTTTGCCTTGTTTAACATCCCACGGCTTGAGGCCTGAGAGGTGCACGGCAGTTCTGGATGGCAGCTCTGACTCCGTTTGGGAGTGGCTCCATTCCTTTGGACAGAGGTACAGGCCGTCCTCAGTTATGTCAGAATAGATGTACGTTGTTTTGTGGTTACGTTGCCATTTCCCATTTATTTATTAAAAAAGGAAAAAAAGTCCCGTCATTTCGACATATGTACATCTGTGCTTTATCTTTTTTATTATTTATTTAAGCACAAGTAAAGGTCAGGAATTGTTATCTTTTAAATTTTTTTTTACTGTTTCACTTCGTAGCTGCTGTGTGTGCTCCGTGTGACGCAGGTGCTCATGTAGGTGGGTTCTGACTTACGGCGAAAATTGCCTTCCGTTGAGACGTAGGCATGGATCTCCGACGTAACCCGAGGACCTACTGTATATTGAATACGGCTTCTTTTTATATATATGTATCTTTTTAAAATATATATTTTTATTGATTTTTTACAGAGAGGAAGGGAGAGGGATAGAGAGTTAGAAACATCGTTGAGAGAGAAACATAGATCACCTGCCTCCTTTACACCCCTCACTGGGGATGTGCCTGCAACCAACGTACACGCCCTGGACCGGAATCGAACCCGGGACCTTTCAGTCCGCAGGCCGATGCTCTATCCACTGAGCCAAACCGGTTTCGGCTGGACACCTCTTAGCTGTGGGAGTGGAGAGTGTCATCAGGAGGCATCGTAGAGCCTGTTCTCTCCGCTGGCTTCTGGGGCCCGTGCTGCAGTCCCTCTGCCGGCAGCTGGGGAAGCCGAGGCGCAGATAGGAGAAGTCCGCCGGCTGCCAGGCCCGGGAACGCTCACCCCTGGCCTCTCCCGCCCGCGCAGTGATCAAGCCGGAGCTGCTGCAGAAGGCCACGGTGGAGCTGCTGGACCAGGCCCTGTGCGCCAGCCTGTACGGCAGCTCGCTCACCGACCGCATGGTGTGCGCCGGCTACCTGGACGGCAAGGTGGACTCCTGCCAGGTGAGCCCGGCCGCGGGGCCCAGAGCACGCCCGCCCGAGGCGGCCCCGGTTTCTACCCGTGGCTTTAGCACAGCGTTCAGCCCTGGGCCTCCTTCTTTGTAGGCTTTTATTTCTGCGTGTGTTGTTGTTTTGTTCATCCTCACACGAGGGTGTTGTTTCCATTGACTTCTAGAGAAATGGAAGGGAGGAAGGGGAAGGAGAGAGACACGTGGACTGGTTGCCTCTGCATGACCCCCGACCAGAGCTGAGGAATCCAACCTGCAACCCAGATGTGTGTCCTTCCTGGGAATTGAACCTGCAGTGCAGGGGCTGCTGCTCTACCCATTGAGGTGCACTGGCCAGGGCTGTAGTCCGTTTGTTCTCATTTCTGAAGCCTGGTGGGTGGGGAGAGACTGCTACCTGTGCTCAGGTTTCCATAGCAGAAACCCAGAGCCTAGCCCTAACCTGTTTGGCTCAGTGGATAGAGCATCGGCCTGCGGACTCAAGGGTCCTGGGTTCGATTCCGGTCAAGGGCATGTACCTTGGTTGCAGGCACATTCCCAGTGGGGGGTGTGCAGGAGGCAGCTGGTCGTCGTTTCTCTCTCATCAATGTTTCTAACTTTCTATCCCTCTCCCTTCCTCTGTAAAACATAAATAAACTATATATTGAAAAACAAACAAAAACACCCAGCGCCTGGAGGAAGTGTTGGGAACAATGAGGGAGCACTGCTGGTGGTCGGAGGTAACGTGAGGGGTGAACACAGTGCAGTGACAGATGATGTGTGCTAGAATCGTGCACCTGAAACCTGTGTAAGGTTGTTAACCAGTGTCTCCTCAACAAATTAAAAAGTAAAATGAGCCCTGCCCTAGCCAGTTTGGCTCAGTGGATGGAGCATCAGCCTGTGGACTGAAGGGTCCCGGGTTCGATTCTGGTCAAGGGCACATGCCCAGGTTGTGGGCTCGATTCCCACTGGGGAGTGTGCAGTAGGCAGTCAATCAATGATTCTCTTTCATCATTGTTGTTTCTATCTCTCTCTCCCTCTCCCTCTGCCTTCCTCTCTGAAATCAATAAAAAAATATATTAAAAATAAAATAAGCGCTGGCCAGGTAGTTCAGTGGGTTAGAGCTTCTTCCTGATATGCTGAAGTTGTGGGTTCGATCCCAGTCAGGGCACATACAATACTCAACCAATGAATGCATAAATAAGTAGGACAACAAATCTCTCTCTTCCGCTCTCTCCAAAAACCAATACATCAGAGTAAAATGGGTCCCTGGCCGGTGTGCTCAGTGGGTTGGGTGTCATCTCACGCACCAAAGGTTGCCAGTTCGATTCCCAGTCAGGGCACATACCCGGGTTGCAGATTTGATCCCTGGTTGGGGGCAAGGAAATAAGAAAGTTCTTTGTTTGAGAATGTCAGAGTCCAGGTGCGCTGGGTGTGAGGAGAAGGCGAAGGATCACAGGGCAGGGTAGGTGAGGAGAGAGCAGGCACGGCAGGAGAAGGCCACAGCCTGAGCGGACTGCAGGCTCCAGCGGGAGCCACACTGCCAGCCTGAGCGAGGGTGGCCCAGTGGGGGGCAGGGGTGGAGGGCAGGGATGGTGCTGGCTGGGCTGGGTTGGAACTGCTAGTGGTAGAGCTGAAGGAATCTCCCAGGTCCCATGGTCCCACCGCCCTGTTTTATTTTTATGAAAGAGGAAACAGAGGTTCTGAAATGTGACTTATCAGCTCACCTTTTCTCTGTGAGCTGTTGTGGGAAGCGGCCCCGCCCAGGGGCGGCTCTGGGACCCGGAGCCGGGAGCCCTGACCCTCTGAGTCCGTGCCTTTGCCTCCTAGGGCGACTCGGGAGGCCCCCTGGTGTGCGAGGAGCCCTCCGGCAGGTTCTTCCTGGCCGGCATCGTGAGCTGGGGCATCGGCTGTGCCGAGGCCCGGCGCCCGGGGGTCTACGCCCGGGTGACCCGGCTGCGGGACTGGATCCTGGGGGCGATGGCCTCGGCCGGCAAGCCCCTGGCTCCCTCGGCGGCTCCCGCCCCCGCCGCCCCCGGCGCCGCCTGGCCCACCAGCCCCAAGAGCCCGGCGGTCAGCACCCCCATCAGACCCACGGCGGCCCCCAGCTCCGCGCCTCTCGGCTCAGCGACGGCCTCTAAGCCACAAGGTATGTCCGGGGGGACGGCAGGGGCGGGCACATGCGGCCGGCAGGGTCCGATCGGCTGGCGCTGGCTTCCTGCCGCTCTATGGGGAAGAAATGGGTGATGGACCAGGGATGTCTGTCATGGGCACAGGCTGAGACACACACACACACACACACACACACACGGGCATCCTTCAGATTGATGGCCAAGGACAGTCCGGCCATCCAGTTGGGTAAACACAGAATACCCCGAAGGGTCAACAGGAAGCGAGTGACCATCATGGGGGGACCTGGGTGGGAGAGAGACCCACTGGGTTTTCACACAGGGGGGGCCTCCAGAAACACCACTTACACAGAGCAAGTGTGTGTACACTTCCATGGCCAAGGACCCTCGATCTTTTTTCTTTTTTCTTTTCAAAATTTTTCTAGATGTGCTTGTATGCTTCTCTTTCCAGGTAAAATCCAGCTTATCCGTGTTCTTTACTTTTATCTTTCATTGTGGTGACACACAAGAAACACAACATGAAATCAGCCATCGTACACATTTTAGAGTGACCGGCTCAGCTGCTAAGTCTGTTGGCCTGGTGGGTCTTGAAACACATTTACATCCGTCTTTGCTTGGTGGTTTGCAAGGGCCCAGATCTGAGCTGCCCTCCTTTATGGTCCCGCAAAACTGCGGTGTTCTGAGCCCATCCAGACTCTTTCACAGAAATGGCCCCTGTACGCCAGCCTGTCCCAACATCCCACACTAACCTGAGTCCCCCTGTGTTTGGTGACCCCCCACCAGGGGTCTGATGTGCTGGCTCCCCCCTGTAGCGCAAGCTCATAAACCTGACCTTGGGGGCTTTGGGTCTGTGTCTGGCTTCTTGTCTTGGTCTGATGGGGCCGAGGCACCTTATAATTGTATCTTCTTTTCTTAATCCTCACTTGAGGGTATTTTTTCCATTTATTTATTTTTGTTAATCCTCACTCTAGGATTATTTTTTCCCCATTGATTTTTTTTTTTTTTTTGAGTGGAAAGGAGGGGGAGAGACACACAGAGAGAAACATAACTCACAGTGCTTGGTTGCCCCCTGCACGTGCCCCAACTGGGGGCCAGGGATGGAGCCTGCAACCCAGGTACGTGCCCTTGACCAGAATCAAACCTGTGACCTTTCAGCCGAAACCAGTTTGGCTCAGTGGATAGAGCGTCGGCCTTCGGGCTGAAGGGTCCCGGGTTTGATTCCGGTCAAGGGCATGTACCTTGGTTGTGGGCACATCCCCAGTGGGAGGTGTGTAGGAGGCAGCTGGTGGATGTTTCTCTCTTATCATTGTTTCTAGCTTTCTATCCCTCTCCTTTCCTTTCTGTAAAAAAACAATAAAATATATTAAAACAAAAAACCCCTGCAACCCTTCAGTCCAAGGGCAGATGCTCTACCCACTGAGCCAGCAGCCCGGACTGTCTTCGCACCTTTAACCTGCCCCCCGGCTGTGCCACGTGCTTGCTGCCAGCCTGTGGGACAGTGGGGACCTGTGAGCCTCAGTGACCCTCTGCAGAGCGGAGCGGCCGCGCGGCCGTCAGAGCGGGGGCTGCGCCGGCGTCGGGGCCCCGGCTCTGGGGCCCGCTCCAGCCTCCAGGAGGCCGGCTCTCCTCTCCGCAGAGTGCGGCGCCAGGCCGGCGGTGGAGAAGCCCACCCGCATCGTGGGCGGGCTCGGCGCCGCCCCCGGGGAGGTGCCCTGGCAGGCCAGCCTGAAGGAGGGCGCCAGGCACTTCTGCGGAGCCACTGTGGTGGGAGAGCGCTGGCTGCTGTCGGCCGCCCACTGCTTCAACCAGTAAGACGGCTCAGCTCCCCCTACCCCCCGGCCCGTCCCTCCGCCCCCGTCCCTCTGGGCCCCCAGCCCCCGGGCCCGTCCCTCCGGCCCCCATCCCTCCAGCTTCCCGTCCCTCCGGCCCCCGTCCCTCTGAGCCCCCAGCCCCCCGGCCCGTCCCTCCGCCCCCGTCCCTCTGGGCCCCCAGCCCCCGGGCCCGTCCCTCCAGCTTCCCGTCCCTCCGGCCTCCCCGTCCCCCCGGCCTCCCCGTCCCCCCGGCCTCCCCGTCCCCCGGCCTCCCCGTCCCCCCGGCCTCCCCGTCCCTCCGCCTCCCCGTCCCCCCGGCCTCCCCGTCCCCCCGCCTCCCCGTCCCCCCGGCCTCCCCGTCCCTCCTCCTCCCCGTCCCCCCAGCCTCCCCGTCCCTCTACCTCCCCATCCCCCCCGGCCTCCCCGTCCCCCCCGGCCTCCCCGTCCCTCCTCCTCCCCGGCCCCCCCGGCCTCCCCGGCCCCCCCGGCCTCCCCGCCCCCGGGCCCCGCCCTCCCCGGGCCCCGCCCCCGGCCTCCCCGCCCCCGGGCCCCGCCCTCCCCGCACTCAGAAACCAGGTAGGACCAGGGTGTGGCCATCTGTGCTCCAGGGGCCATGGCAGAGCCCCCGCCCCACCCCCCTCCCCCACTCACCGTCCTGGTGTCTGGGTGTCTGATTGCAGATGAGAGGGGAGCTGAGGGAGAAGGGGGGCCCTGGGGGAGCCAGCTCGGGAGAATAATCTGTCACGCTGGTTTTCGGGGCGCACCAGGGCTCCCGGGGGAGGGACAGCCGGGAGGCACTGACCGCTGCGTCATCAAGCTGTCGGGGGCTCTCATGCCTCTGGGCCAGCTCCCTCTCGTTCGGACAAGGAAACGAGGCCCCGGCCCCCAGTTTGGGGCTGCTTTGGGGGAGCAGCCAGGGGCCGCTCCGTCCTCCCGGTGCCCCTCCCCGGAGTCCGGCCGGGGCAGCGGGGTCTGAGCGGCCCCCTGTTGGCAGCACGAAGGTGGAGCTGGTGCAGGCGCACCTGGGCACGGTGTCGCTCACGGGCGTCGGCGGGAGCCCGGTGAAGATGGGGCTCAGGCGGACGGTGCTGCACCCCCAGTACAACCCCAGCATCCTGGACTTCGACGTGGCCCTCCTGGAGCTGGCGCGGCCCCTGGTCTTCAACAAGCATGTCCAGCCCATCTGCCTGCCCCTGGCCATCCACAAGTTCCCCGTGGGCCGCAAGTGCGTCATCTCCGGGTGGGGCAACACGCAGGAGGGGAATGGTGAGTGCCGGATGGGGCCCTCTCCCGATGCCCGCACACCGCGGCTCTGCTCGCCTCCAGCCACAGGCCCGGCACAGCTCTTCCTTATACACAGCATTTACTTTTTATTTATTTTTTATTTATTTCTAACAATTATAATTTTAGATTTTTAAACAATCACACAAAAATTGTCCAGTATTGATTCTATTGTGCTTTCTAAACCTGGCTACTTTTGTCAACTGTTTCTAAGTTTTAGTAGCCTTTAGTACACTAGTGATCTCCTGCCTTTCTTTTTAAGAAAATTTTTAAATAAATCTTTATTGTTCAGATTATTACAATTCTTCCTCCTTCCCCCCCCCCATACTCCCCTCCACCCAGTCCCCATCCCACCCTCTGCCCTTACTCTCCCCCTCCACTGTCGTCATTCATAGGTGTACGATTTTTGTCCAGCCTCTTCCCATAACCCCCACTCAGACACCCATTTTCCCCTGAGAATTATCAATCCCCTCCCATTTTATGCCCTTGATTCTATTATATTCACCAGTTTATTCTGTTCTTCAGATTTTTAATTCACTTGACTTTTAGATTCACTTGTTGATAGATATGTATTTGTTGTTCATAATTTTTATCTTTACTTTTTTCTTCTTTTCTCTCTTTTTAAAGAACACCTTTTAGCATTTGATATAATACTGGTTTGGTGGTGATGAACTCCTTTAGCTTTTTCTGATCTGTGAAGCTCTTTATCTGGCCTTCAACTCTGAATGATAGCTTTGCTGGGTAGAGTAATCTTGGTTGTAGGTTCTTGCTATTCATCACTTTGAATATTTCTTGCCATTCCCGTCTGGCCTCCATAGTTTCTGTTGAGAAATCAGCTGAAAGTCGTATGGGTGCTCCCTTGTAGGTAACTGTTTTTCTCTTGCTGCTTGTAAGATTCTCTCTTTGGCCGAAACCAGTTTGGCTCAGTGGATAGAGCGTCGGTCTGTGGACTGGAAGGTCCCAAGTTCAATTCCTGTCAAGGGCATGTACATTGGTTGTGGGCACATCCCCAGTGCGGGGTGTGCAGGAGGCAGCTGGTTGATGTTTCTCTCTCATCGATGTTTCTAGCTCTCTATCTCTCTCCCTTCCTCTCTGTAAAAAATGAATAAAATATATTTTTTTAAAAAAAGATTCTCTCTTTGTCTTTTGCTCTTGGCATTTTAATTATGATTTGTCTTGGTGTGGTCCTCTTTGGATTCCTTTTGTTTGGGGTTCTGTGTGCTTCCTGGACTTATAAGTCTATTTCTTTCACCAGGTGGGGGAAGTTTTCGGTCATTATTTTTTCAAAGAGGTTTTCAGTGTCTTGCTCTCTCTCTTCTTCTGGCATCCCCACAATTCTGATGTTGGTACATTTGAAGTTGTCCCAGAGGCTTCTTACACTATCTTCAACTTTCTGGATTCTCTTGTCTTCTTGCTTCTGCAGAGGAGTGTCCTTTGCCTCTTTGTATTCCAAATCTTTGACTTGATTCTTTTGTTCTTCTAGTCTGCTGTTGTGTCTCTGTATAATATTTTTTATTTCAGTCAGTGTATGTTTAATTTCTCGTTGGTCCCTTTTTATATCCTCGAGGGTCTCATTAAATTTATCGGCCTTTTCTAGGAAATTCTTGAAAAACCTTATAACCATGGCTTTGAACTCTATATCCAGTCATTTGTTCTCCATTTCTTCCCTTTGTGTTCTGTTTCCCTGTCTCCTCATTTTTGCTGCTTCCCTGAGTTGGTAGGATACCTTTGTGTGCTGGGTGTCCTATATGGTTCGATGGGTCAACCTCCCAGTTACCTGAGGTGGACACCCTTTGTGGACTGTGTGTACCATCTTGTTGTAGTTAAGTCTTTTTTTTTTCTTTTAATTTTTTATTAAGGTATTATATGTGTACATATCTTACCATTAACTGTAGTTAAGTCTTGATTGTTGTTGGTGTCACCGGAAGGAATTGACCTCCAGGCCAGTTGGCTGTGAGGACCCTGTGTATATAACGGAAGAATTGCTGTGCTGGAGACACATTTATGGGCAGACTTGTTCCAGTAGGGCTTTAATGCTCACTGAGTCCGCCTCTTGAATGTGTCCCTTATGAGAGTAGTTGAAATCTGGTGTCTCACACAGACCACTAGATACACTAGCTTCTGGATCTCCAATGGGGTGCAGGTCAGCTACTGTCTGAGGCCACCCAGCAGGAGCTACAGAAAGAGCTACAGTTTTCTCCTCTTTGCTTGGGCTTTGGCGGTTTTGGAGCAGTCTGACTGGAGCTGCAGTTTATTTGGTTAAGCTGGGACAGGGCAGGCCATTTATATGCAAATGCCACTGTGTAGAGCCTGGGTGGGTTTGTAGAATGTGTGGGGGTGGGGCCTCAGGGGACAGGGTCTCAGGGTGGGGCGGGGTCTCAGGGTGTCACTAGGCTGGGGCATGGCAAACAGCGATGGCTGCCATCAGCCCTCTCTGCCTTTCCATGTTCCCAAGTCCCCGTGTCCCCGCGCTCCAGCGCAGAAAACAATGATTGCTGGGCGCACCTCTGCAAAAAGTCACCCTCACTTTCAGACCCGATGGCCGACAGACCAGCTTCTCCCTGTAGGCGTCTGGGTCCCCTGCCTGTCCCCAGAAACTGGATTTCAGAGTGTTCGGGAGCTTGTTTCCCTTCAGGTTGAAAAAAAGCTGTGCACCCAGTCACCCGCCACCAGCTGGATTCACTGCCTCCGTACCTCAGCTTTTCAGCGCTTGTGCTCCGTTCAGCCAGCTTTCCCGTGGTTCTGGGTGATAGACGTTTTGTCTTTTTTTTTTTTTTTTTTTTTTTGGCGCTTTTATTTTTATTTTTATTTATTTATTTATTTTTAAATAAATCTTTATTGTTCATATTATTACAAAAGTTCCTCATTTCTTCCCCCCTCCACCAGGTTCCCACCCCACCCTCCGCCCCTCCCCATCCCCCATTGTCCTCATCCATAGGTGCACAGTTTATGTTCAGTCTCTTCCTCCCTCCCTTTCCCCGATAGTAAATCCCTTTTCAGATAGTAAATCTGTTACTTAGCATTTTCTCATATCAATAATACCTCCACATGCCCAATGATACACTTCACACAAAAGACATTTCCAAATAGGTCAACCAGCCTCATCCAGGCCCCACCCAAGGCACTCACAGATCAACACCCCAGCGCTATACTAACTCAACACATCCAGATCTAAGCCTTCATCACTTGATTCAGCAGACCCTCAAGTTCCCGCAATAGTTTCCAGCCATGTCTGAGAGGCAGCCGTGGGGCAGGGGAAGGCGAGGAGCGAGCTGTTCCGGGCCTGGCTGCTCCGGGCCTGGCCTCTGTTGCTCTGGTTCGTTCCACAACCAGCTGCTCTGGGTCTGGTCACTGCCGCTCCCGACCTAGTTGCTCTGGACTTGGCTGTTGCTGCTTCAGGCCTGGCTGCACCCGACCCAGCTGCTCTGGGCCCGGTTGCTCCGGGCCCGGCTGCTCAGGGCCTGGCCGCTCCCAGCCTGGCAGCCGCTGCTCTGGGCCTGGCTGCACCAGACCCGGCTGCTCTGGGCCTGGCCGCACCCGACCCGGCTGCTCTAGGCCCGGCTGCCCCGGGCCCGGCTGCTCCGAGCTTGGCTGCTCCCGGCCTGGATGCTCTGGGCTTGGCTACTGCTGTTCTGGGCCTGGCTGCTCCCAACCCGGCTGCTTTGGGCCCGGCCACTCCGGGTCTGGGTGTTCCTGGACTGGCCACCCTGGGCTTGGCTGCCTCCGCCTCAGGCCTGGCTGCCACTGCCCCAGGTCTGGCTGCTCCAGTGCTGGCTGTTGATGCTCTGGTTCTGGCCGCTGCTGCTCTGGGGCCTGGCCACTGCTGCTCCGGGTCCAGCTGCCACTGCCTTGTGCCTCGGCACTCTAGGCCTGGTCACCGCTGTTCCAACATTTTGTCCCTTTTTCTTTTTTTTAAAAAAACACATTTATGTTGCAATGTTGGCTGGTGAGTTGAGTTCTGACTTAATCTTTGAATTTTCAAGATCTTCTTTGTATTCTTTCTTAAGTAATTTTACTATCTTTTGCTCTCACTTGATTTCTTCACATTGAGAACTTCTTTGATTTCTTCCTCCTTGTCCTGGGAGCTCAGCAGGTTGGCCTGTGGCACCCCTTTGTTCTCCGCGGGCTCCTGCGCTGCTTCAGCCTGTTGCCGGGGTCGGCGCCGCCCAGGAAGCAGCCCCCGGCCTTGGCTCCGTTGCCTGTGCTCAGCGATCGAAGGCTCAGGGGCACCCTCCCCTTTGGGGGCCCCGTCGCCTGGCTCCTTGCTGGTGCCTGGCTGGCCGGTGTCCGGCAGGGGCTCCTGCTCCCTGTCGCGTTCCTTCAGTCTGGAGCTTTCTTTCTCCCTCCCGCTAGGGGAGTCCAGGATCAGAGTCAACAGACTGTCCTCTGCGCGCAGTGTGCACGACTCCGGGGGCTCGGCCTTTCGCCGCTCTCCCAGGACTCCACCTCACAGCCCGTCTCCCTCTGCTTGAGCCTGGGTCCCCAGGGACTGGCCCAGACCTGGAGTTCGGGGCAGTCCGGACTGAGGCTCAGCGCCGCCAGAGGCCCTGTTCCTTCCGGCTAGGGTAATCCAGCATCAGAGTCAACATTCAGTCCTCTGCGCACAATGTGCGCGCGACTCCGGGGGCCCCGCCTTTCGCTGCTCCCCCGGGATTCCGCCTCACAGCCCTGTCTTCCCCTGCCGGAGCCTGGGTCCCCAGGGACTGGCCCATAACTGGGGCTCAGCGCTGCCGGTTCGGGGGTTCAGCCCAGGCTGGCGGTTCTATTTCCTTCCTGCTAGGGAACACCAGGCAGCACCCAGCCCTCTCCTCCTCTCCGGCTGCGACCTCTCTGCGCACACGTGCGTGTGAGCGCGCAGCATGTCTCCGTACCTTAGGCTTTTTTTCAGCTCCTCTGATTTTCCTTCTGGTTTTCTCCCTCCTTCCTATTGTAGAGTTTTCAGTCAGTCGACTACCTGTAGCTCTGGGCGATGTCCACTCTACATTTTAGTTGTATTCCGTTGAAATTGTTGTGTGCTGCTGCGGTTAGGTGTCTACCCGAGCAGCCATCTTGGATCCTCCTCCCGTTTGTCTTTTAGTTGTAGTTTTGAAATGTTGTGAGAGGTGGCAGATTGTTGTTTGCCTTTACCACCATCTTGGTTTCTCCATAGACACAACATTTAACTGGCACACAGCAGAGTCCCTTTGCTGACAGGTGAGCTGTGGTGGCTTTCCTGCTACAAAAGTAGAAATGAGTAGCCCTGACAGAGACTGACCGGTCCTGACAGCCAGGGACATGGGCGTGGGCGGGCACCAGCGAACACACGTCCTCTGTGGCCTCTCCAGAAGCAGCTTCAGACCCTGTGCCTTACCCGTCAGAGCCCCAAGAGTCAGTGCTTCCTTTGGAAACTCAGAGTGGCCTCCCCACAGGTCACCGACGGGGCTAGCCCAGTGGTCGGCAAACTCATTCGTCAACAGAGCCAAACACCAACAGTACAATGATTGGAATTTCTTTGGAGAGCCACATTTTTTAAACTTAAACTTCTTCTAACGCCACTTCTTCAAAACAGACTCACCCAGGCCGTGGTGTTTTGTGAAAGAGCCACACTCAGGGGGCCAAAGAGCCGCACGTGGCTCGCGAGCCGCAGTTTGCCGGCCACGGAGCTAGGGACTCGCTTGGGACAGAGCTGGGATCCGGCCTCAGCCTCCTTCTTGCTGTGTGAGCCTCAGTTTCTCCACCTGCAGGAGGAGGAGGGTGCCTTTCAGAGCCGAACGGTTGACTGAACAGCGATCACTGTGTCATTATTGGGGGGGGGGTGTCTCCTTTTCCTGGCAGCAACGAAGCCAGACACCCTGCAGCGCGCGTCAGTGGGCATCATCGACCAGAAGGCGTGCAGCGCCCTCTACAACTTCTCGCTCACCGACAGGATGCTCTGCGCCGGCTTCCTGGAGGGCAAGGTGGACTCCTGCCAGGTAGCTCTCCAGGGGACGGAGCGGGTTCAGAGGAAGAGCCAGGTTTGAGGATTTCAGGGAGGGGAAGTCTGGGATTGAACTAAGTTCTCTAAATGCGAGTCATTTAGAGAAATGATAGTATGTCCCAGCAGGAGAGGAGGTAGCAGGTTAAAGTGTGTGGTGGGCCCTGGCCGATGCGGCTCAGTTGGCTGAGCCTTGTCCCATGCCCCATGAGGTCGCCAGTTTGATTCCCAGTCAGGCCACATGCCCAGGTTTCGGACTCCGTCCGCAGTGGGGGTCATGCAGAAGGTATCTGATGGATGTTTCTCTCTCCCTCTCCCTTCCTCTCTCTCTAAAATCAAAATAAAACTACATTTTAAAAAAATTTAAATAGTTTCTAAGAATGTGGTAGATATACAAAATGTACACATACTTCAATATATCTATACGCATACTTAAAGTCATATTTTATATGTACATATTTTAAAAAGAGATACATTGTATAAATAAATATATTTTTATTGATTTCAGAGAGGAAGGGAGAGGGAGATGATGAGAGAGAATCATTGATTGGCTGCCTCCTGCACAACCTGGGGGTCAAACCCACAACCCGGGCACATGCCCTTGACTGGAATTGAACCCAGGACCTTATGGTCCCCAGGCCAACATTCTATCCACTGAGCCAAACCATCCAGGGCAGTGTATATTAATTGAAATAAAGCTAATCCCAGATTAGGACACAGGTGTGGGGAGGGGGGAGGAGGACATGACATCTAGGATCCAGCTATTGGATCTGGGACTGCTGGCTTCCAACCACTCGCCTGCCTGCCTGCCTGATATGGCTTTTGTGGGGACACAAGTATGCCCACACCGTCCAACAGGATTCACCCCGGGGAGGTGGGGCATGGGGACGAGGGCAGGGCTGTTTCGGACCCTGCGGCCTGTCCCCTGCCCTGCCCTCGGCTCCCCTGACGGCCTCTCCCACTGTGGGATGCAGAGGTCCCGGCAGTGCCCTCTGCAGAGAGGTGCCCGCTGGCCGCAGCCAGCCCTCTTTGCTTCTCTGCAGGGTGACTCCGGGGGCCCCCTCGCCTGTGAGGAGACCCCCGGCGTGTTTTTTCTGGCGGGGATCGTCAGCTGGGGCGTCGGCTGTGCTCAGGCTAAGAAGCCCGGTGTGTACGCTCGCATCACAAGCCTGAAGGGCTGGATCCTGGACGTCATGTCCTCCTCGCCCCTCCCCACTCCTGCCTCCTCCACCACAAGGATGCCCGTCGCCACCACGCATGTCCCCGGGACGGTGGCCGGCCCCCCAGCCCTGGGGGCCACAGCCAGCAGGCCCACCCTCCGGACCACCAGCAGGACCACCAGCCAACCTGCCAGCAGGACCGCCAGCACCGTGGGCACCCCCGCCGGGGGGCAGACACCGCTCCCAAATGCCTCGCGGGCCACCAAGGACCCCCAGCTCCCAGGTACCGGGAGGCATGGATGACGGTGGCGGTGGCGGGTCCGGTGTCAGTCTGTCAGGGCTGCTGTCAGCATCCCGCAGGCTGGGGGCTCACATTGACTGGCTCCCAGTCCTGGAGGCCAGGTGGGGCAGGGCTGGTTTCTCCTGAAGCCGCTCTCCTTGGCATGCCGACGGCCGCCTTCCCCCTGTGTCCGCACAGGGCTGCCCTGTGACTGTGTCCTCATCTCTTCTTAGAAGGACTCCAGTCATACTGGATGAGAGCCCACAGCCAAAGACCTCCCTGCACCTTCATCACCTCTTCACAGGCCCCGTCTCCCCACAGCCACATTCTGGTGTGATCAGAGCTTCAACTATGGCTTTTGTGGGGACACCAGTCTGCCCATCATCATCCCGACAGCCAGGGACATGGGCATGGGCGGGCACTGAAGAGACAGGCACTGAATGGGCAGACCTGCACCACCTAGTGGCAAATGTGTTAATCTGCAATCCCTGTCAGCTCCCATTTAAAAAATATATATATTCTATTAATTTTTTAGGGAGAGGGAGAGAGAGTTAGAAACATCGATGAGAGAGAAACATCGATCAGATGCCTCCTGCACACCTCCTACTGGGGATGTGCCCTTGGCTAGAATCGAACCCAGGACCTTTCAGTCCACAGGTCGACACTCTATCCACCAAGCCAAACTGTTTAGGACAGCTCCCATTTTTAAAAAAGGAAACTTCAGGGGTACACGAGGGAGTCCCTGACCAGGGTCTCCATCAGGGAATTCTCCATCCACTCATCCCATGCTCATAAAGCCCCCTCTGGGCCAGACCCCATCTAAGCTTGGGAACAGCAGGGACCCAGAAGGCGGAGAAACAGACTCGTAGCAGAATGGTACATAGGAGAGAGGACCGAGCAGGACCAAGCTAGGGCACAGGGCCAGCTGGTCTCCCAGGCTCTCATTATGGACTGAGAGGGTATCTCACTGGCCAGTAGAGACACTGAGAGAGAATGTAGCCCTGAGATCCTTCCTTTCATGTCTAAAATGCTGAGTTCACTTTTATTAATTACTAGAGGCCCTGTGCACGAAATTCATACACTGGGGGGGAGGGGGGAAGGGGAGAGTGTCCTTCAGCCCAGCCTGTACCCTCTCCAATCTGAGACCCCTTGGGGGATGTCCGACTGCCAGTTTAGGGATCTAGCGTAAACCGGCAGTCAGACAACCTCTCACAATTTGGGACTGCTGGCTCCCAACCACTTGCCTGCCTGCCAGCCTGATCACTCCCTAACCACTTCCCTGCCAGCCTAACTGCTCCCCTGCTGGCCTGATCACCCACAACTGCCCTCCCCTGCCAGCCATCTTGTGGTGGCCATCTTGAGACCACATGGGGGCGTCCATCTTGTGTGAGAGCATGATGGTCAATTTGCATATTGCCTCTTTATTATATAGGATTAATCAGAACTATATAAAACTGCTGTATTTGTTGGCCAAAGATAAAGCCCCATCAGGTACAGGCAATTTCATGTGGCTCAAACTAAGGCTAAGTCAGCAGGAGCCTGGGGGACCACAGAGAAAACATCCTGACTTCTGCAACATGGGATCTGCCAGGCTCACCCCGTGTTAGCGAACCGCCCACTCTCCAGGCAGACACGAGCTTCCTGCTCTCATATCCGGATTCGGGGGCCACATCTGGGCTGCTTTCGCTCAGACGGGGAGGCGGGGAGCAGGCTGCTCTGGTGAGCTCCCAACGCGGGCAGATGCTCAGCACACAGGCTGCTGGTCTGTGCAGGCTGCACCCACCTTCCTCCTCAGTGCGAACTTCCCCAGAACTCCCACTAACCCCAAGTCCCGCGCCATCTTCACGGCGGCTCCTTACAGAGACGGATCCAAGGAGACGTCTCTGCCTCTTTCTTCCATCATCAGTCCTCTCCTTGGGCCCTCCTCAGGCTCATTGTCCTTCAGATTGGTACGGGCAGGGGTATGTGTGTATGTGCACAATTTAATCCCATTAGAGAAGTTTGGGAAAACTCCCCATGATCCCACTGCTCCGTCATATCCTTCCTGACAGGTCATAAGGGGCCTTACCTTTTCCCCCGGCACATGGTCAGGCAAGGGCCTGGCTCCATGAGCCTGTCACCCAACAGACCTGAGCCCACCAGGCAACCAGGCGGCCCACACCAGAGGAACCAGCGACGGGTCGCCAGGAGGTCAGGATCTGGGGGCGGAGCGCTGTGTAGGTGGCCTTGAGGTGAAGCAGGGTTCTCAGCGGCTCAGGCCGAAGCAGACCATGTGCCAAGGGCCTGGATGAGGGTTCGGAGGGTGGGGCGGACCTGGGTCCTGTCTCCTTGGGAATCACAGTTAAGACAGAGGCGACATGTTGAGTCTAGAACCCCCTTATCTGAACCTGCACCCAGACTGGAAATGGAGGGAAAGTTCCGGGATTTAGACCCTCCAGACCCAAGGGGACCTTTCCTTCACAGCCGTTTCTGCCGGTCTGGTGCGAGGCACAGGGTTTCCAGCAGGGGCACTCAGAGAATGTGGGTGTGATCCTGCACAGCTGTAACTGTTCTTGGGAGAAACAGTTAACTCCCTAGCTAGCTTCATCTGGTTCTGGCCTTTAGCCTGGTGATTTTCACATTTCCAGGAGCTACGGCAGGCGTCCGCTGTGGGGGCAGTGTTTCCAGGAAAGGGCACACACATCTGCCAGATTCCCCGGCCCCTGGGCAAGGTCCAGATGGCATCAGGAGGGGGAGGCGGTGGGGCTGGCGGGGACGGGCAGGCGGCCTCTCGTCTCCCCATCTCTTCTTCCAGCCGAGGCCAGAGCGGGAGCCTTCCCTCAGCGTGGAGGGCGGTGGGAGTGGCTGGGAAGGGGCAGGCTCCGAACGGCTCTGTGGGACCAGGTGGGGAGGCGTGCCCCTGATGGGTGACACCACCGTGCTTTCTGCAGTTGTGTTCTGAGGGTGCACCTTGTGCTGGGGGTGGCAGGTGTCACAGCACAGCGTGTCTGGGAAGACGGACTAGCACAGGAGCTGGTGGGCAAGCAGGGCCTCTTGGTGCTAAGGGTGTGGGAAGATCTGAGCCAGCACCGAGAAGCCTGGAAGGCGTGGTGGTGGGAGGACAGTATCCTGGTCCCCATCCCGGGGGGAGGCACGGCCCCAAGCTGAGGTTGTAGGAAACATACTTAAATGCATTTCCAGTAGCATTTGGGAAAAGCCTGGAGGAGGCGTTTGTAGGACCAAGTGCAGCGTTTGTGCGGAGCTTTTTCGGGGTGGGTCCCCCCCAAGGGGCCGAGTGAGGCTGCATCTGCCCAATGCCCTGTGCCCGCTCTCCTGCAGACTGCGGCCTGGCGCCGGGGGCAGCGCGGACCAGGATCGTGGGCGGCAGCGCGGCCGGCCTCGGGGAGTGGCCGTGGCAGGCGAGCCTGTGGCTGCGGCGCCGGGAGCACCGCTGCGGGGCCGTGCTGGTGGCGGAGCGGTGGTTGCTGTCCGCCGCGCACTGCTTCGACGTGTGAGTCCGCCTGTCCCCAATGCCCGGCACAGCGGTGGCTGCTGTCCGCCGCGCACTGCTTCGACGTGTGAGTCCGCCTGTCCCCAATGCCCGGCCCAGCGGTGGCTGCTGTCCGCCGCGCACTGCTTCGACGTGTGAGTCCGCCTGTCCCCAATGCCCGGCACAGCGGTGGCTGCTGTCCGCCGCGCACTGCTTCGGCGTGTGAGTCCGCCTGTCCCCAATGCCCGGCCCAGCGGTGGCTCGCCGGAAATGACTTATGACCCCACCCCCGCCCACTCACCCCATGGGGCTGCAGGGATTCAACCCTACACACACACACCTCCTGCCCCAAACCCCAGGCTGCAGCCTCTTCCAGTCCAGGCCCAGCGTGGTGGTGCATGGGGTATGATGCCTCTCCATCCTCCAAAGGCCACACAATGGGGAGCCCTTCATGGCAGGCTGCTCAGTAGGTGGCCCTGCCTCCTCGGAGACACCCGTTCTTGCGCACATTGCTCTCTGCAGGGCGGGGTCAGGGGGAACGGGCAGGAACTGGCCACCAGAGCCCTAATATTGGGCAGAATCGGATAACCTGTGATGTCACCTCATTGCTGTGGGTGCATTTCAGGGAGGCCCCCCCCCCCCCCCCCCCGCACTGTCCTAGGAGGGATGACTCACCCCATATCCATGGGCAACACAGGCCCAGAGGCTGGGCCCTGCCCACCCCCGAGCACAGGCCGGGGCCAGCCTCAGCCCGGTGGGGCAGAGTCCAGAGGAGCACAGGCAGGTGGTGACTGGGGTGCCGGAACCCAGGACACCTGTCCCCACGCACCCTACAGCTACGGAGACCCCAAGCAGTGGGTGGCCTTTCTGGGCACACCGTTCCTAAGCGGCGCCGACGGGCAGCTGGAGCGCGTGGCCCGCATCTACAAGCACCCCTTCTACAACCTCTACACGCTCGACTACGACGTGGCGCTGCTGGAGCTGGCAGGGCCTGTGCACCGAAGCCGCCTGGTGCAGCCCATCTGCCTGCCCGAGCCCGCACCCAGGCCCCCCAGCGGGGCCCGCTGTGTCATCACCGGCTGGGGCTCCGTCCGAGAGGGAGGTAGGCGAGTCCGGCAGGAGGAGCCAGGCCCGCACCCTCAGGGGTTACCGGTCTGGAGGGCCTCCGGCCCGTCCCTCGTGGCTACTGCCCGTCTCGCCCGCAGGCTCCATGGCGCGGCAGCTGCAGAAGGCGGCCGTGCGGCTCCTCAGCGAGCAGGCCTGCCGCCGCTACTACCCCGTGCAGATCAGCAGCCGCATGCTGTGCGCCGGCTTCCCGCAGGGCGGTGTGGACAGCTGTTCAGTGAGCACAGTTTAAAACTGAAATGGGTGTTCTGCCGGGGTGAGGGCCCATCCATCCAGGACAGCAAGGTTCTGGCCGCTCTGAGCCCACAGCCAGGACCCTCTGGCACAAACTTAGCTGATCAAGCAGGGAACCTCATCACCCTCAGATGTTTCCATGGACCACTGTTTATTGGGCATCCATCACAAGCCAGTCCCCACCCACAGCCTCACTGCCGCCCTGCAGGCGAGGAATGGGAACAGGCTGCATGCAGGGCGAGGCCGTGCTGCTAGGGAACCTGTGGCAGGTCTCACAGGTGTCTGCCAGCCAGAGGAGTGGCTTATCCTGGCACTAAGCCCATTTCCCAGGTAGTAAAAGTGAGGCTCACAGGGACCCTCACTTGGCGTCACATGGAGAGCCCAGGAGACACTCCTGTGTGGCCAGCCCCGGGTGTGCGGACCGGGTAGCCCTCTCCTGCCCCAGGGTTGCTATGGGGACGGGGGGGGGGGAAAACTGGCCTGCCTCTCTGAGTGCCTTTCCTCTCTCCTCCCTCAGGGTGATGCTGGGGGACCTCTGGCCTGCAGGGAGCCCTCTGGCCAGTGGGTGTTAACTGGGGTCACCAGCTGGGGCTATGGCTGCGGGCGACCTCACTTCCCAGGTGTCTATACCCGGGTGGCTGCTGTGAGAAGCTGGATCACACAGAACATCCAGGACTGACCACCCCATGGCTGTGCAGGCCTGGGAGGACAAGGCAGTCGCAACCAACCGCCAGCGGTCCCACAGGGGGGGTCCAGCCCAGATGGCGGGTGGGAGCAGTGGGAGTACAGTTTCACTGTATCTTTGTTCCAATAAAAAGCCCCTTGTCCCTAACTTACTGGCTCACACACTTGCACATCACAGCAAGAACTACTTGCTTGCCCATGACCCAGGGCCTAAAGGTGGGCTGAAAGATGGGCGGGGTGAGGTAGCAAGACCTCCCAGGAAGAGGGCTGCCATAACCCCAACCCCAAAGGCTGGGGTTCAGCCTCATCTTCAAGGTTCCTTTTATGTCATCCAGGAACCAGTAGCAAGCGCCCAGGGAGAAAATGAGCGTTGGGGCAGGGACCCAAGTACCCCAGACACAGGCCTCCTCCAGGGAAGACACACAGGACTCTCTCCACCCCTCCCTCATCCATTTATTTGTCAGCCCACCAACAGGAGGTCACAGCTCAGGTGGGGTCTGACCATATCCCCACCCTCCAGGCCCACAGGAAGTCTGTGGCTAGGGCATAAAGGTGACCGGGGCACACCAGGAAAAGTGCCACAGCGCTGCCAGCACTTTGGGAAAATCCAGGGTCCCCAAGTCACCAACTACACTCGCTGGCAGGTGGGAGGGAGGTCGGCCTGGCCAGGGGGAGAGGGACAAAATCCCAAGTGTCCCAGCACCAGTCTAATCCTCATAAACCACGGGCAGGCAGCACGCACACGCTGGCCCCTGCCTCACAAAGCACATTTATGGAAATCGAACACGGGTGGGGCAGCCCGCTGGCTCGGCCAGGCTCCGCATTTCCCGATCACATGTTGGCTCGTTCTCGCTGCAACCGCGAGTTGTAGGCGCGGGATACGGTGTTCCAGGCGTCCATGTAGCGGTCCATGCACATGGCAATGCATTTCTGGAGGCGAGGAAAGCGCAGGGATCAGCTCAGGGTTTCCCTTACCCCCGCCCTTCCCTCCGGGCAGTGGACTGCGCACGCGCAGCGGTCCCACGACCCGCCCCCTTCACTCGCGCACGCGCAGAGGCCCCTTGCCAGTCCGAGCCCAAGACCCACGCCGGCCCCAAGGGTCTCACCTGCTCCGAATTGTCCAGAGAGCCCCCCGGCTTCCCGATGCACTTCCGGAAGCACTTGTCCGTCATCCTCTGTGGGGACATGCAAACCCTCAGCCGCTACACCCGCCTTCTGGCGGCCCCCGCGGCCCGCGGCCCTCGGCCCCCGACCCCAGCCCGGTCCCGAACCTGCAGCAGCTCCTGCGCGTTGGCCACAGCGATCTGCACCTTCACCTGCTCCATGATAAGCCCGGGGTCCAGCTTGCCGCTGCCGGAGCCGCCGAAGTCCGAACTGAAGCTATCCATAGCTCCGCAAAGTCAACCGGCTTGCGGCCGCGTGCGCCGACCCGTACCTGCGCCGGAAGTTCGGCGGCGCGTGGGGCCATGGGAAATGGAGTCTGGGCGTGCTGGGGGCGGGGCGACGGTCTAGACCACAACTCCCACAAGCCCTCGGTTACGTTGGGAGCTGAGGTCTCGCGTAGATTGCGAGGCCGCAGGCTGCGCCGGGAGCGGGTGACCGGGACTTCGCGGGGAGAAGCTTTCCGAGCCCAGCTCCAGCCCATCCCACCGCGCATGCGCGGGGAGGGGGTGGTGGCGGCCCTTGGGTGCTCGCCGCCGGCAGTGGAGCTCGGGAGAAGCCTCGGGGGCGCCTCAGGAGTTGGAGAAGCGGCCGTGGGGGAGAGCCCGCTGGAAAAACAGTGCGGAAAGCGACGGCAGCAGGTACTGCCCGGGGAGGTCAGGAAGTGGAGCCGGTGCGCACCTGCCAGTGCTACCTAATTAAGTGTGTGTGGGGCCTCACCACTGGTTAACCCGGAGGAAGAGGATGCCTGCCCGACAGGACTCCTGTGTCAACTGGGCTCGAATTCCTAGCCAGAGTCTCGCTGCCATTGCTTGCAGGGGCCTCTCACCCCCACATTGCATTTTGGTTGGGGAGAAGCTGCAGAGTAAGTCTGCAGACGTCAGGCTGCGTTCTCTCTTTAGTCACTCCCAGACCAGCTGTAGTCAATAGAGCACAGTGTTCGGAAGGTTACTTCTCGTCGTGAGCTCTGTGTCTTCCACTTCATGCTAGTGCAGAAAGGAAGGAAAGAAACAAGATCTCACCCGATTTTACCCAGTGGTTAGAGCGGCGGCCGCGGCCTGAAGGGTCGCGGGTTCGATTCCGGGCAAGGGTGCGGCGTGGGTCAAGACGCGCGCGGGAGGCAACCAATTGATGTCTCTCGCTTCATTGTTTCCCTGTCTCTCCCCTCCCGCCCCTCTCTAAAAATCATTGGTGATGGGGGGAAAGGGGAGAATATCCTCAGGTGAGGATTTTTAAAAATTTTATTTTTAAATTGAAGTACATTTTTTTAAATAGTAAGTTACATTTTATTTATTTATTTAATATATTTTGTTGATTTTTCACAGAGAGGAAGGGAGAGGGATAGATAGCCAGAAACATTGAGAGAGAGTCATCGACCAGCTGCCTCCTGCACACCCCCACTGGGAATGTACCCACAACCAATGTACATGCCCCTGACCGGAATCGAACCCGGGACCTTTCAGTCCGCAGACTGACGCTCTATCCACTGAGCCAAACCGGTTTCGACTTGAAGTACATTTTAAGTGATGTCAGGGAGAATAAGCTTTACAGTTTAAGTTATCTATTATTATGGATGCCACTTAATGTAATTTTGGAAGTTAGTGGTTCTGTAAATTGCATTATTGCAGTTAAGTGTGCTATATGATGGATCGGTGTTTTCTTTGAGGCAGAAGGAACATTCCTTTCTCAGACGTCATCCAGCAGGTACTCAGGCCCCCACACTGTGCGAGGTGCTGTAGAGGTTACGGGAAGGGTGAACCCTGCTACTATTCACTAAAACAATTTAGTTTCATAGAAGAGATGAAACTGTTACCTGACAATTAGGGAATAACCTGACTTTATTAGCAGCTGGCTTTAACTTCTCAACCATTGATCCAGAAATATATTTCAACCAGAGACTTGACTTCCTGGAAAACAAGTCTTATACAATAGCAGCAACATTCTGGAACATACAGGATCTAGTAAACAAATTCAGTTTACTGGATCCTGTAGAGCACGTCTACCTCAGCCCGGAAACCGCAGTGAGAGTAACAGATCGATGAGAATGTGCTAAATTGGTAAAGAAATTGAGTTCTCCCCTTTTCACCTGTGAAATCAAGATGAAGTATTGAAACGGGAAGAGTTTATTTTTCTTATTCCCATCTCACCTCCTTCCTTTTTGGCAACCATCAGCTTGTACTCTGCACTAATGAGTCTGTTTTGTTATGCATTTGTTTTTGTTTTTGTTTTAATATATTTCATTGATTTTTTTTACAGAGAGGAAGGAAGAGGGATAGAGAGCCAGAAACATTGATGAGAGAGAAACGTCGATCAGCTGCCTCCTGAACACTCCCACTGGGGTTGTGCCTGAAACCAAGTACATGCCCTTGACGGGAATCGAACCTGAGACCCTTCAGTCCACTGGCCGACACTCTATCTACTGAGCCAAACCGGTTAGGGCTGCATTTGTTTTGTTCTTTAAAATTCTACGTATAAATTAAGCCATATGGCATTTGTCTTTGTCATTCTGGCTTCTTTCACTTAGCATAATACCCTGTAGGTCCATCCATGTTGTCACAAATGGTAAGATTTCACTCTTTTTATGGCCGAGTAATAGTCCAAGTTTATTTTCACGTGTCACAGTACACATGAAGACTGTTCTGTTGTCCCACCGCTCCCCTCCCAAGCTGTCCTCTTGGACAGGAAGAGGGGTGAGTCTTCCAGGTCTTGCTGTTAGGAAACACCCAGAGTTGCAGCCTCGCGGGCTCTGGGTGAAAGAGAGCAAGTAACTGATGGAAAGGGGCTCCCTCGCTCCTTACTGTCTGGTCCAGTCATCCCTGGGTGAGTGGGCACATCAGGAGGTGGGCGGGTGGACTCATCATTGGGGGCCCAGGCGTCATTGGCATGTGCGGCCATAGGCGGCCATCATCCCAGGAGGGGGAAGGCCCATTGGCATCATGGGAAGGCCCCATACGGGGTGCTGGCGGTACACCAGGGCGAGAAGGGCTGGAAGACGGGGGTGGGATCTGCCCCTGCAGGAGGAGCAGGAGTAGGAGGTGCCCTTCCTTGCTGAAATGCTGCAGTCGTTTTTTTCAGTCGTGCTCTTGCCTCCATTTCTGACAGTCGTCTCACATTCTGTTTGCTGTCACTGCAGGATGTCTTCCTCACAGACGGAGAGTCATGGGCGAGGTGGGTAGGGCAGTAGTCGCCATAAGACTTGGGCAACTCTGTTCCTTGCACCACCTCTTTGTCCTCCCTCCCACCCCCCCACATGGACCCCTTACAGCCTGTGCCTACCCCCCACCCCGCCTCAGGCCTTCACCACCCTATTGTCCATGTCCATGGGTTATGCATATATGCATAAAGTTCTTCGATTGATCCCCTCCCATCTTCCCTCTGAGATTCCACAGTCTGTTCCATGTTTCTATGTCTCAATTTTGTTCAATGGTTTATTTTGTTCATTATTTTCCACATGTGAGAAAGATCGTGTGATACTTGATTTTTCTTTGGCTTATTTCACTCAGCATAATACTCTCTAGGCCCCTCCATGCTGTCTCAAAGGGTAAGAGATCCTTCCTTTTTACTGCTGCATAGTATTCCATGGTGTAAATGTACCAGTTTTGTGTGTTTTTTTTAGTGTTTTTTTAATTTATTTATTTCAGAGAGGAAGGGAGAGGAAGAGAGAGACAGAAACATCGATGATGAGAGAACATCATGGATTGGCTGCCTCTTGCACTACCCCATTGGAGATTGAGCCTGCAGCCTGGGTATGTGCCCTGACCATGGAATCGAACCATGACCTCTGGGTTCAGAGGTCGATGCTCAATCACTGAGCACCATGGCCAGGCTTACCAGTTTCTTTATCCACTCATCTGTCGATGGGCACTTGTGCTGTTTCTAGATCTTAGCTATTAAAAATCGTGCTGCTGTGTACTACCTCTCTATCTAATTTCTATAGCTTAGCTCTTGTAAATAATGCTGCAGTGAAAATAGGGATGCTTACGTCTTTGGAAATTAGTGTTGTTTTTTCCCTTTGGATAAATACCTCCAAGTAGAATTGCTGGATTGTACGGCAGCTGTATTCTTAACTTAAAAATATATATGTATATTGATTACAGGGTGAAAAATAGAGGGAGAGAGAGAAAAATATCAATGATGAGAGAGAATCATTGATTGGCTGCCTCCTGCACACTCTCTACTGGGGATGGAGCCCACAACCCAGGCATGTGCCCTGACCAGGAATCAAACTGGGACCTCCTCATTCCTAGGTTAATGCTCAACCATTGAGCAACACTGGCCAGGCTTTAACTTTATATTTTTCTTCTTTTTTTTAAACTTTATTGTTGAGTATTACAGATGTCCCCTTTTTTCCCCCCCATTACCCCCCTCCACCCAGTTCCTGCCCCACCCCAGGCCTTCACCACCCTATTGTCTGTGTCCATAGGTAATGCATATCCTACATAATAAAAGGCTAATATGCAAATCGACCAAATGGCAGAACAACCGGTCGTTATGACACACACTGACCACCAGGGGGCAGACAGTCAGTGCAGGAGCTGCCCCCTGGTGGTCAGTGCACCCCCACAGAGGGAGCGCCACTCCACCAGGAACCCTGAGCAGGGCTCACGGCTGGCAAGCGCAGTGTGGTGGGAGCCTCTCTCGCCTCTGGGCAGCGCTAAGGATGCCCCCAGGGGATCGGGCCTAAGCCATCAGTCGGACACCCCCCGAGGGCTCCGGGACTGCACAGTCTTGGAGTTGAGTGGTGAGTGGTGTTGGCGTCATTGGGAGGAATTGGCCTCCATTTCAGTTGGCTGTGAGGACCAGCTGTGTCTGTAACGGAAGAGCTGCTGTGCAGGAGACACGTCCCCTGTGGGGCAGGACTTGCTTCAGTGGGCGTCTGCCCCTTGATGTGTCACTTGTGGGTGTGTGGGGTTGTAACCTGGGATGGACTGAAGATGTCTGCTGGGGACACTGTCTCTGGGGCCTCTTGGGAGGTGCAAAGTCAGCCACTGCCTGGGGCCACCCGGCAGGAGCGAGGGAGATCGCAGGTGCCTGCTATTGGTATTGGGCGAGGAAGTGTCCAGGCGAGGCCCAGCTGTGAGGCAAGGCAGGCCGGTGCCAGTGCTGGGCATTGGGCCTTTTATTGATAAGTTTGGGGCATGCCGACTCCAGCTGCTGCTTGTTTAACACGTTAAGCGCCATGTCACTCACCGGTGTCTGACAGAACAGGCGGGGTGCTTAAGGTGTTAGCACGGCGTGAAGCCTGAGCCAGGACAGGCCATTCATACGGAAAAGCAGCTACAAAGAGCGCGGGTGGGCTGCACGTTGGGTTGGGTGGGGTCCCAGGGAATCACCAGGGCCCAGCGAACTGATGGAAACTTGGATATGGCCGCCCGTCTGCTCTTCCACACAGGGCCGAGGGCGGCGGGGGAGAAGGGGAGGAGAAAAGGGGGGTCCCAGCATAGGAACAGTGACCCCTGTGGGCACCCTGTCCGGGAGAAAGCTGCCCCTGAATTCCTGTCCCAATGCCAGACAATCCAGTTCCTTTCCGTACGTCCCTGGATTTCCCCAAAGCTGCAGCCGGGGCTGGAGCTCGGCGGAGTCATGAAGGTGTAAGCTCATTTGTGGGCTTTTAAGAGGAACACCTGGGATTCCATCAGCCACAATCCCTACTGGTTTTTACCGCCCAAAGTTATGGGGACTTCTCTTCCCAGCTTTGGGCTGGAGGGGCTTGGACCCCCTGCCTCTCCCTCCTGATTAAAAAAATGCCATTCGTGGCTGTCAGCCCAGCCCTCCTACCAGCCTCAGTGCTTTCTTACTTTTCCTTCAGGCAGATTTCAGGTGGTTCGGAATGAGGGCTGTTCGGTATTTCAGTTGTAATGTTGTGGTTGTGGGAGGCAGTGAGTAACGGCATTTACCTACACAGCCATCTTGGTTTCTTCTAATTTCATTTTTCAGTTACAGTTGACAATCAATATTAGTTTCAGGTGTCCTTTTCACCCAGCTCCTTTCCGGCAAACCTGCTTGTTCTCTGTCTGTGAGTCGGTCTCCTTTGTTATAGATAGTGGTCTGTATTAGGGATGATTTATTTCTGCGCTCTCTGTTCTATTGATCTATAATGTCTTTTTATGCCAGTGCCATCCTGTTCTATTGTTTGATATCAGGGATCGTGATGTCTCCCACTTTGTTCTTTCTCACGATTTCTTTGGATGTTCGGGGTCTTTTGTGATTCCATTTAAGTTTTAGGATTAGTTATTCTAATTCTTTGTATGTATATGTGTGTGTGCGCATGTGTCCAAAGTGAATCCCATTAGTTTACGAAACCAAACCCTTGGCAGTAGCCCTCTCTGGCCAGTATCGGGACATCCCAAGTCTTGTAAGTGGCCTGCAGGTTTCTACCTGCTTCAGCCTCACAGGTGGACGCCATCATGGATGGACCAATTGCATATGCATAGTTTCCTCCTCCTGTTGTATTTCCCATTTCCTTTGTCGTCCTTTTCAGGTTTGCTTATATTTTCTCTTGGTTGAAATTCTCTCTAAATACTTCTCCAATTTGGTGAGCATCATGATGACTGTTTCTTTGAATTCTTTACCAGGAAATTACTTATTTCCATTTCCTTAACATGTTTTTATTGTTCTTTGAAAGATAGTTTTTTCTTTTCATTTTGTTTAACTGTGTATGAAGGTTTTAAAGAATCGGACAAGCCTTAGCTGGTTTGGCTCAGTGTATAGCATGGGTCTGTGGGCTGAAAGGTCCGGGTTCAATTTCAGTAAAGGGCACAGGCCTGGGTTGTGGGCTCAATCCCCAGTGGGCGGTGCGCTCATCACTGCTGTTTCTCTCCCCCCTCTCTCTTCCTCTCTGAAATAAAGAGAATAAAAAAGAACTGGACAAAGTAGCCCTAGCATGTGGCTCAGTGGGCAGAGTGCAGTCCCGGATTTGAATCTTGAAAAGGGTATGTGCCTTGGTTGCAGGTTCGATCCCTGGCCCTGGTTGGGGAGCATTCGGGAGGCAACCAGCCAATGTTTCTCTCACACTGATATTTCCTTGTCTTTCCCTCTGTCTGAAAATCAGTGGGAAAATATCCTCCGGTGAGAATTAACGAAAAGAGAGAAAAAGAATTAGACGGAAGAGCGCTCTCCGGTCATGGAAAAGTGTTCTGCCGTAGTGGACCGCAGGCGGTGTCGGTAGGAGGTGAGCTGGTGCCCAAGAACCGGCCTGGGTCGGGAGCCAGGTGTGTGCAGTAATGTGTGATCCCACTTGGTCCCTTTGTTCAGGCCAAAATAGGCTCATGAAATGTAAGACTGGAACAAACTCCTGTGTTGAGCCCCACCTCTCCAGCCTTCTGTTTATCTTGTTGTGCTGAAAGTGGCCTGTGTAGGTGATGGCTGTCAGGGGGTTTGGGCAGTTGGTAGGAGCCTAGCAGGTACCTAAGCGTCAGTCTCAGGGGGGGCCCAGGCCCTGATGTCCCTTGTTCAGAGGCAGAAGGATCTGGGCCAGCGGCTGCAGTCCCCCTGCGCCCTGTGCAGGTGGAGGACTAGAATAGTGGTGCTCCCCGCCTTCTGCTCATCTCTGCCTTGTCTGTCAGAGACCACGTCCAGCCTTCAGTTGTCTCAGGGCCAGGAACTGTTGTGAGTTTGCTCCTGGGAGGGGTGGGGTCAGTGGGACCCTGCACTGCCCCATCCCAACACCCCTCTAGTGAGTCTTTCAGGAAGAAGCCCATTGGCATTTAACAGTTGGGCTTCGGTAATCGGCTTCAGAGTAAGCTCAGAGGCACAGCTTAAAAGCAAGATGTTTATTGGAGTGTTGTACAAAACGTTTCCAGTCAGAAAATGTATGTTACAAAGCATTGGAGGGAAGAAAAGACCACACATTTGGCATGCACCTTAAAACCACCAACACATCTGAAATGAAAGTGCAGACCCCACCCCACCCCACCCCCACCCCACAGTTCTGGAAGCCTCCTCCACTGCCAGTGTGCTGAGGCCGGATGACAGAAAACCGGTGAGTAGCTGCTGGCGGGGGAAGGGTGGTCCTGCGGATATGCTCACAGGAGCACAACGCAGGGTCTCCTGTCCGTCTCTGCTCGGAAACTAGCTGAGTGGTCACGTCCTAGGTGGGCGCCCAGGCCTGGGCTCCGGACTCACACCTCCCTGCATGCCGCCCCTCCCGCTGCTGGGGGCCGGCCTGGAGTTCCTCTGGGACCAGTGCTGGGTTTAGTCATGTGATAGGGGCTCGGACAGAGGAATCCCTTCTGCATCGCTGTAAGTGGCTTAAAGCTAAGCTTGTGTGAGGAGACCTGCACGTTTCCCTGGCCACGGCAGGCAGTTTCACGTTGATTCTGCCCCACGGTTCGGACACTTCATTACTGACGAGTGTCCCCGCTGGTGACCTGGACCACTTCCCGGCTCCACCCAAGGCTGTCAGGCACTGGGGCCCTCTCCCTTTCCGTCCACAAGCTTGTAACAGAGAACGACTGTTAGCAAGCCACGGACCCAAATTCAAAAATAGTTCAGATTCTCCAAAAATGCCACTGCCCCTTTTGTGGGGGGTAGGGGGGTGCACCCAGCCTTCAGCCTCAGGAGCCTGCCAGCACCCAGGAAAGGTTCGGGTGGGTACAGCCTTCAGCCTCAGGAGCCTGCCAGCCCCAGGAAGGGTTCGGGTGGGTACAGTGCTGCACTGCCAGGCTGGCAGGCTCGCTGCGGCCCACCGGACCCTGAGTTGTCCTGGTGGCGCCCTCCGTCCCTGGCCTGGGAACTTAGGTGGCCCCAGGAAGGACCCAGGAAAGTGAGGGCTGTGGGTGAACCCTGAACATACAATTTGGTTCAGCCACTGGGGTCCCACCAGCACGGGCCCTGGTCTCCACCCCTCTCCACTATAAGCAATTCCCCAGGAAAGCCAGGCCTGGGGGTGCGCAGGGCAATGGGCAGCCAAGGGAACCAGGGGGCCAGCCATGGGGTGCTCTGAGACTGCCCCAGACTCATAGCTGCCCTTTCTGAAGAAGTGTGCCATCCGGCTCAGAGCTCCCTGAGGGAGGGTCCCCGTGACTCTGGCCTGAGCCATGGAAGCAGGATCGGCGATCTGAGTACTGACCAATGTAAAAAAATAAATATCCATTAAAAAAATAACTTCTGTGTATCTAGGTGGGGCTGTAAACGGTAGGCTGATGCAGAGAGGGTCACGAGGCAGCCAGGAGCTAGCCCGTGTCATGGAACCACCCTAAAGGGGGCAGCTGGCAGTGGCCTGAGTAACTATTTCCACTAGAGTTACAGATAGAAGCAAGAGTAGTGATAGATATGCAGAATACAGTGTCCACAAAAAATGTATACACTGTAATAGCTGATGCTCAACTTAAAAAACGTGTTTCGATAAACACTGCCTTTATGATTATTCAGTGTGTATACATTTTTTGGGGTCACCATATATATGTATATGCGGGCGGGAGGCTGGCAGTGAGCCCGGCACACGGTGTATGTGGGGGAGGGGGCGTCCAGTGGCTCACCGGAAGCCAGTGTTTCCGTGACAGGAGGGCACCGAGTGGTTCCACATGGACGTGGTCCTAAAACCGGGTTCACACTTGTGCCCTCACTTTACCGGCTACCAGTCTTGGGCTGGAAGTGTTCCTTCCCCAGGCTTCCTTCTCTCCTGTCCTACTGGTCTTGTTCCAGAAATGCATGGTTAGGCAGCCACAATGGGGACAAGGAGCCCCCACCCAGCGGCACCCTGATCACCAGGTGGAAAACCTGCTTGTCACCCAGCACCTTCAGAGCAGGAGTCACAACAACCCCAAAGCCAGGCAGACATAAAGCCTGTGACTCCCAAGAGCTCCCACACCCCGTTCTGGTGGGCGAGCCACCAAACCCCCGGGACACCCCATCCCACCAGGCAGGAACCTGGGTTCAGATTTTGGTTTTTAAAAGCTTAATAACACGAAGGACAACTACTGAATCCTGCAGCTCCTCTGCCTCCCTTCAGGCTGGGGAGGGCGGGCAGCGCGGCCCCTCCAGCCTCTAACACCAAACCCCTCAGCCATTAGGCTCCTGGGCCCGGAGGCCAACCCACAGAAATGGGCACCGAAAGGCCCCTGGACAGTGGCTGGAGGGAGGGTCCGTAGAAACCCACTGAGAGGACAGACAGACCCACCCACATTCTGGCAGTTCGCTTAAAAATTCTCTAGAAATGTATAAGGACTGGAGAAAGCAGATATGAAGTCTTCAGAGGCTCTGGGGAAAGAGGCGATGAGTGTGCGCCATCACATCACGCGGCAGCCTCTGGAGGTGGTCCTCGGGTCCCCCTGGAGGAAGGACAGCACCGTCACACGTGCCCCAACCCCACCAGGGCCGGAGCCCCCAACAGGATGACAGGGCTAATGGCATTGGCCACAACTGTCCCTGTTCCAGAACCTTCCACGCCTCCCTTGTTTTCAGCTACATTAACATGTCACAGTTCTGTCTCAAACATCAGAAGCTGCACAGCCTAATCTAACGGTGTGGTGCGAGAATCTCCATCTTCTCCCAAAGGCCATCATTTAACTCACCCTTCTCCAACCAAAGTCAAGGTGCTAGAGGGCCTTCTGAGACCGCGAGAACAGTAGTGCCACCTGGAGAGGCACCCACTCCCAGGGTTCCCTGGAGGTACCCCGAGTCCGCACAACAGGCAAGACCTAGAGGCAAGGAGTGCTGCCCCATGGCCGCTCTGGCTACAAACGGCAGGTGTGTGCATGTATGTGTATGTGTGAGCCCGAGTCAGCCCCCAGGCCTACCTGCTGATGGAAAAGATCCTCCTCGCCAAACTCGGCTCCCTCCTCTTCTCCCTCCTCCCCGTTCTCGGTCTCCCGCACCACCGAGGACTGCTTCACCATTCTGATGGCCACTTCCTGTGTAAGACAAGAGCCATGACCACCCAGCCCCTCAGGTACAGCGCCCAGCCCACATAGGTGCAGTCAACATGCTTGTTCAGGGTGTCACCACCCTGCAGAGTGCCACCTGCGGACCGGGCCCCAAATACCCACCTCCCCATCGGCGTTGACAAGGACAGTCCGGAAGCTCTCGCCTGTGCCCCAGCTGTTCTGACTCTTCCACACAAGTGTTGATGGGGGGCTGTGGGCCACGCCTGCGCCAGCTGCCCATACCTGGAGACACACAGGAGGGCCTCCCTGTCAATGTTGGCTCTGGTCCCTTATCAGAGCCCGCATTAGATGCACCAGGGATTTAATCCTTCCAGCCTTACTGGGTCCTACCTAGACATGATCACTAGGGAATGGAAGAAGAGACTGAAGTTCATAGTGGCCAAGGACACTCTTCTTGGCAAACAGGATGAGCTGGGATCTGTTAGCTTCAAGGCCCATGTCCATAACTGTTAGTTTCATCTCTTGCCAATTCCCACTGGCCCAGATAGCCTGGACCAGTGGTCAGCAAACTTTGACTCGCGAGCCACATGCAGCTCTTTGGCCCCTTGAGTGTGGCTCTTTCACAAAATACCATGGCTTGGGCAAGTCTATTTTGAAGATTTAGAAAAAATTATTTAGAAAAAGTTTTAAAAAGTTGGCTCTCAAAATAAATTTCAATCGTCGTATGTTGATATTTGGCTCTGTTGACTAATGAGTTTGCCGACCACTGGCCTGGACCGACCCACCTCCACCATGGGAACCTGGCATGACAATTAGGCATTCAAAGGGCTCTGGGGAGGGCCCATTCGGACAATGCCGCATACATGTGATTTGTGACTTAGGGCAGCTTTTCTCAAAACCAGACACTCAACCACGACTCCATCCCCCAAGCCTATCCTTCTCCAGCCCCATCACACGTCCTGTCACCTGTCTGGTTGCTGCCATCTCCCTCCCACTGGTGGTCACTCCTCCTACCCCCCACTCCCTCCACCCAGTCCACCTACCGTGACAGTCTGGCCAGCCCGAAGCACATACTTGGGTGTGAACTTGTAGGCAATCTCCGCCCCTTCTAGGATCTGCCTCTTGATCCTCCAGTTCCCCAGAGACTGGTCCTGCAAAGGGGAACGGCCTGAAACACAGCCCAGACCCAACGGGGGGACCCTCCGCCCAGCAGCAGGGCGCCTTACCTTGTCCGAGCTGTTCTTCAGCTGCACAAACTTGCCCTCCAGGTCGATCTCCTCAATGCTCACGCTGCCCGTGGCCGAGGCCTGCTGGGCCAGGTGGAAGCTGCTGCTGCCGCCGCCGCCCGAGCTGATGCCCCCGGAGCCCGTGCCCAGCGGCTCCGCTGTCTCCAGCCGCCTCCGCTTGCCGCGGCCAGAGCGCCCCATCGTGGACACGCTGCCGCCGCTGCTCGAGGTGGCCCTTGAGATGGTGACCCGTGACGATGGGCTGGGGGAAAGCTTCAGCCTGGGGGAGGGGCACAGGGTGACTGGTGGTGGCTTAAGGTCAGAACAGAACAGCCCAGACAGTGCAAAGTGGGCAGACTCACTCAGCAGTCCATCCTGACCAGCCCCAGGCTGGCCTCTCCTCCTCATACCTCCCTAACCCCGCCCCCCCACCTCCCACCCTCTCCCTTCCTGCCACCTGATCTCTCCTTCTAGTCAGCAACCTCTTGCTTTCCCCTCCCCCCACCTCTTCTCACTACCCGTGGCCTCCCCCTTTCCCCCACCTCTCCTCCTCGCCCTCCAGCAGCTTGCGGTAGGCACTGATCTCCATGTCCAGAGCCAACTTGACATCCAGCAGCTCCTGGTACTCGGCCAGCTGCTGCTGCATCACATCTCGCATCTCTGTCATCTCCAGCTCCTTAGCGTCCAGCATCTTCCGGAACCTGTCACGCTCCCCGGCCATGGCCTCCTCGAGCTCCCGGATCCGGTCCTCAGCTGCACTAGCCTGGGGAGGGGTCCAAGGGCAGGTCAGGGCGGCTGTGGGTCATAAGCAGCCCACCTGGCTCCAAGCCAGACCCCAGGCCTGGTGGGGGCAGCAGCTGGGAGCTTCACTCAGGGAGGGACTGCTAGGTGGTGGGGCAGGGCCAGGCAGGAACTCCCCAGTCACCTGCTTCTGGAGGCTGGAGAGCTGGTAGCTGAGGGACTCAACTCGCATGCGTGCTTCCTTCAGCTCCTCGCGGGCAGCGCTGGCGGCCTTATCGTTCTGGTCCGAGCACAGCTTGGCGTTGTCCAGCTGAGGAGACGGGAGCAGGAAGATGAGGCGCCTGTACTTCCCTGTCCGTCCCCGCCCCCTGTCCGTCCCCGCCCGCTCTCGGGCCCTCCCTCGCACCTTGGCCTGGTAGGCCTGCTCCAGCTCCAGCTTGTAGAGCCGCACTTGCTCGTCGTGCTGGCTGCGCAGCTCCTCCAGGGCCTGTGCCATCCGGAAGTCATACTCCTGCTGCTGGCCGCTGTCCACCTCCACCAGGTGCCGCTCGTGCTGCCGGCGCGTCTCCCGCACCTCCTGGGGACAGAGCACGCCGACGCCAACGCTGAGGCAGGCAGCGGGGCTGCCACCAACCCATCCTGCTCACCAGTGTCTCCCACCCGAGTGTCAGGTGTAGCGAGGGCTCAAAACTGTGCAAACAGGGAACAACCTCTGAGGAGTCACCCGGTTCACAATCACCAGAGGACACAGCCCAAACGTCCTTCAATGGTGAGTGGACAAACACAATGACTCAACCACGAAAAGGAACAAAGCACTGGTACTCGCTACAACATGGATGGTCCTTGAAAACATGATGTCCAGTGAGAAGCCAGACACCAAAGGCCGCACTGTCCAGAACAGGCACATCCAGAGACAGGAAGTAGGGGCTTTGGGGGAAACTGCTAATGGGTGCCGGGCTTCTTTTTGGGGTGATGAAATGTTCTAGAATTAGAGGTGATGGTTCCTCAACCTTGTTGAATACTAAAAACCACTCTAAATTGTACACTTTAAAAGCTTTATGAGCCGAAACCGGTTTGGCTAGCGCGTCGGCCTGCCGACTAAAAGGTCACAGAATCGATTCCGGTCAAGGGCATGTATCTTGGTTGAGAGCACATCCCCAGTAGGGGATATGCAGGAGGCAGCTGATCGATGTTTTTAACTCTCTTCCTCTCTGTAGAAAATCAATAAATTAAAAAAAAAAAAAAAAAAAAAGCTTTATGACATGGAGGGCATATGCTAATTGATTGCCACGCCCTCAAAGGTGGCGGAGCCTACAGCCATAAGATAGCGGCGCCCAGTCCCCTCAGCCCCTCCCAGTCCCCTCAGCCCCTCCCAGTCCCCTCAGCCCCTCCGGGGCGCCTGCAACTGGAGTTCCCCAACCCCCTTAGCCCTCCAGCCCCCAGGACCGGCTGAGGCTGGCGCTGCTGCAGCAGCAGAAGTGCGATGGGGGCGTCGCCTTCCTCTGATCGCCAGGTCACCTCCCGCCCCTGAGGACTGAGAGGGGCAGGCCAGGCTAAGGGACCCCCCCTTCCAGTGCAAGAATTTTCATGCCCCGGGCCTCTAGTTAGAAAATATGTTTCTGACCAAGTCTGCCCAGGTGTCCAGGGCCATTGACAGTGACAGGCGGAGTCCAAACCACAAGTGCCTCTGATGTAGCTGCCCCGGCTCACAGTGGGGCCAAGTGCAGGTGGGGGAGGCTGGGGCTCCAGAGGAAGAGGATCCCTCCACTCATGCCAGCTCAAACTAGTCGCTGTCGCTGTCATTGGTTTGTAATACAGCAGGAGCATCACCCAGGAAGCCGTGACAGCACCCCGCCCCACAGCTTCTCGCCAGTCCCTCTGGCAGTGCCCTGCGCACACCCCTCACTGCCCCCATGGGCTCCCTCCACAGTCCCCTTCGTGGAGCCCCCCAGGAGCTCGGCACAGCCCACTCAGGGCCCCCTTCCACGCTGTGCTCCCATCACCCCACAGGGGCCTCCTCATTGGTCCCTGGTAGACTGGGGTACCTCCATGGGTGCCCCCTCAGCTCTCCTCCTGGCCTTCTCCCTGGCTCCCCTGGCGGCCCTGGCTGTCATGGGGCCTGGCTGGAGCCACAGACCACTTCTCAGCTGCATGTGTGCCCTCCTGCCAGCAGCTCTTCCCGGCTGCAAGGTTCCGTCTGGGCCATGGCAGCACAATGGGCCCTGTGATGAGATGACGACGTGGGAGGGCCCCACATGGGCCCCCTCCCAGCCAGGCCTGGCTATGCCAGGGAGCCAAGGCACAGGGATTAGGATGAGGGGTGACCAGGAACAGAGGGGAGTGCATGGCCCCACCCTGCCCTTGGATGGGGAGGGACTGGAGCGGACTGAATGGTGGCCCCATAAAGGAATACCTGCACCCTGGCCAGTGTGGCTCCTTGGTTGGAGCATCATCCTGTATACCAAAGGGTGGCAGGTTCAATCCCCGATTCAGACATGCGCAAGAGACAACAGATCAATCAATGATTCTCTCCCTCCCTCTTAAAAAAAAAAAAAGTATAGCTATATCCTAATCCCCAGAACCGAGTGTGGACTTAATTTAAAAAGAAAAAAAAAAACTTTGCAGATAAAATTAAATTATGGGTCTCAAAATAAGATCATCCTGGATTATCCAGGTGGGCTCTCTAAACCCAATGACGAGTCCATCTTTTTAAAAATCCTCACCCAAGGATATTTTTCCATTGCTTTTAAGACAGTAGAAGGGAGGGGGCAGGGGGGGGGAAGAAAGGGGGGGAGAGAGAGAGAGAGAGAGAGAGAGAGAGAGAGAGAGAGAGAGGGAAACATTGACCTGAGAGAGAGACATCAATGAACTGACTCCCAAATGTGCCCTGACGAAATCAAACCCGAGACCCTTCAGTCTGTGGGCTGACGCTCTAACCATTGAGAAACCCAGCCAGGGCAGTGTCCATCTTAAGAAACATCCTGGCCCTGCCAGTTTTGCTAAGTGGTTAAAGCGTCAGTCTACAGACCAAAGGGTGCAGGCTGGGCTGAGGGACGCCCCCCATGCAGGAATTTTGTGCACCAGGCCTCTAGTTTTCAATAAAGGAACAAAAACATACCATGTTGTCTGAGAAAGGGAAGTTTCTTCAATAAATGGTGCTCGGAAAACTGGACAGCCACATGCAAAAGAGTGAAACTAGACTGCTGACACCGCACACAGAAATGAACCCAAATTAGATGAAAGTCTTAAGTGTAAGACCTGAAACAATAAAATACAAGGCAGCCAGCCCTGGACAGTTTGGGCCAATAGATAGTGTTGGCCTCCAAATGAAGGGTGTAGGTTTGGTTCCAGGTAAGGGCATGTACGTGGGTTGCAGGCTTGATCCCTGGTCCCAGTTGGGGCACCTGTGGGAGGCAACCAATCGATGTGTCTCTTTCATATCAATGTTTCTCGGTCTCTCCCCCTCCCTCCCACTCCCTCTGAAAATTCAATGGAAAAAATATCCTCGGGTGAGGATTAACAACAAAAAACAACCAAACAACCAACCAAATAGGAGAAGATTTTTGCAAACAATATCGCAAATAAGAGGTTAATTAATACCCAACATATATAAAGAACTTACTTATACAGCTCAATAATTAAAAGCAATCGCCCTAATTGGTTTGGCTCAGTGGATAGAGCGTTGGCCTGCAGACTGAAAGGTCCCAGGTTCAATTCCAGTCAAGGGCATGTACCTTGGTTGCGGGCACATCACCAGTGGGGGTGTGCAGGAGACAGCTGATCGATGTTTCTCTCTCATCAATGTTTCTAACTCTCTATCCCTTCCTCTCCTCTCTGTAAAAAATCAATAAAATATATATTTTTTAAAAATCCTATTAAACAACGAGCAGAGGACCTTTTCCTAAGATGACACACCAGTGGCCAATAGACACATGAAAAGATGCTCAATGTCATTTCTCAGTAATCATCAGAAAACGGCAAATTAAAACCCAATCACAATGAGATCTCACCTCACACCTATCAGAACGGCTATCATCAATGAATGAGCAAACAAGTGTTGACAAAAGGGAACTCCTGTTCTGTTGTAGTGTTGGTAGGATTATAAACTGGCATAGCCACCATAGAAAACAGTATGGAGGTGCCTTAAAAATTAAAAATAGAACCACGTTATGACACAGCAAATCCTTTTCTGATTATTTACCAGAAAAAAAAAATAATTTGAAAAGATAGATGCACCTTATGTTCATTGCTATATTATTTACAATAGTCAAGCTATGGAAGCAACTTAAGTGTCCACTCATAGCCGATTAAAGATAGGGTACATACATACAATGGAATATTACTCAGCCATAAAAAATAATAAAATCTTGCCATTTTCGGAGATGCAAATCAAAACAACAATGTGGTACCATCTCACACCTATCAGAATAGCCAACATTAACAAATCAACAAACGACAAGTGCTGGCGAGGATGCGGAGAAAAAGGAACCCTCGTGCACTGCTGATGGGAATGCAGGCTGGTGCAACCACTGTGGAGAACAGTATGGAGTTTCCTCAAAAAACTGAAAATGGAGCTCCCATTTGACCCAGTAATCCCACTCCTAGGAATATATCCCAAGAAATTAGAAACACCAATCAGAAAGGATATATGCACTCCTATGTTCATAGCAGCACAATCTACAATAGCTAGAATCTGGAAACAGGTTCAGTGCTCATCAGCAGATGATTGGATCCAAAAACTATGGTACATCTACACAATGGAATACTATGCTGCCATAAAAAATAAGGAATTCTCATCATCTGGATAGAACTAGAGAACATCATGCTGAGTGAAATAAGCCAGTCAATGAAAGAGAAATACCACATGACCTCACTCATTTATGGATATTAAAGAACATTATAAACTGATGAACCAAAAGTCAGATATAAAGACAGTAAAGCAACAAGCAGACTGTCAAATTACAGCCGGGAGGGTAAGGAGATCTGGGGGAGATAAGAGATCAACCGAAGGACTTGTATACATGCATATAAGTACAACCAATGGACACAAAACTCTGGGGAGGGAGGGTATGTAGGGGGGGGGGGGGGGCGCAATGTTAAAATATGTACACAAATAATAATTAAAAAAAAATAAAGAAAAGTTAAAAAAAAATCTTGCCATTTTTGACAACATGGATGGACCTACAAGGTATCCTACAACATGAAATAAGTTGTAGAAATAAGAAAGAAAAATATCATATGATTTCACTTATATGTGGAATCTAAAGAACAAAACAAACAAACAAAATAAAATGGAAACAGACCCATAGATGCAAAAAACAAGTTGATGGCTACTAAAGGCGCTGAAGGGAGAAAGTATCGGAACTGAAAAATAAATGGAAAAATCATATATCTGGTAAGTGATTAATATAAAAGAAGTAATGGATTAGCACTGCTCAACATATTATTTAAAACTGGTCATCATGTCATCTTTCAGCACCCTTGCTTTTAGTTTGTCCACCTGGCTTTACCACCTGGATAAAGAAACACAAAAAGACTCTATTCACTCCCTGGTTATCCTGACCACTGAGGTCTATCTAACAACTACCTTCTGCACATCCGATTGGTCCAGCCACGCAGGGAGTTCCTCTGTGACACTGGGGTGGGTGGGACACCTGCAGGCCACTTACAGGACTTTTTGTTTGTAACACTGGCCAGAGAGAGGGCTATCTCAAAGGGCTTGGTTTCCTAAATTTTTCTAAGAGTGATCTTGGCATACACACACACACACACACACACACATACACACACACAGAATTAGAACAACTAATCCTAGCACTTATATGAAACCAGAATAGACGCCAAGTAACCCTGGCTGGTATGGTTCAGTTGGTTGCGTATTGTACCATGCACTGAGAGGTCACCAGTTCAATTCCCAGTCAGGCACATACCTATATTTCGGGTTCTATTCCCTATCAGGGTATGTGCAGGAGGCAACCGATCAATGTTTCTCTCTAAAATCAATAAAAACATGTTCTTTTTAAAAAGGACACCAAATAGCCAAAGAAATTTTGAGAAAGAACAAAGTGGGAGGTACCATGTGCCCTGATATCAAACCATACTATAAAGCTACAACAATCAAAACGGCATAGTATGGGCATAAAAACAGACACACAGGTCAAGGGAACAGAACAGAAAACCCAGAAATAACCCTCAGTGTTAAATTGACCTACAAAGGAGGCGAGGATATACAATGGGGTACAGACTGGCTCTTCAACAAGTGGTGCTGGGAAAACTGGAGACACATTCAAAAAAAACCACACAAAACAAACAAAACAACAACAACAAAAACGAAGGTGGACCACATGCTGACGAGAAAAGCTCACCTCCTCGAAGACACTCTTGCGGAAGTCCAGCTCCTCCTGCAGGCTCTGGCAGCGGTTCTCCAGGTCCACGCGCATCAGCGTCTCCTTCTCCAGCTGCTGCTTGGCCACTGAATGGCCGTCCTCGGCCTGGGAGACACCGGACAACACGCTGAGGTGACAGCCTGTCTGCTGCCCTCGGGCCCTGGCTGTCTTAGTTGCACTTGTCTGGCTCCTCGTGCTCAGGGATGTCCTTAAATACCAAACCCACACCTGCGTGAAGTCCCCTGGCCACCCCAGGACCCACATGCCCACCCCCTCGAGCCTCTTGTCTCCAGGCGGGGGGGCCTGTCCGGGCCTACCTTGGCCAGCTGGGCCCGAAGCTCGGCCACGTCACCCTCGAGGCTACGCTTGTCGCTGAGGGCAGCAGCCAGCTCGGCCTCGCTCCGGTGGAACAGGGACTCCAGTTCCTTCACACGGCCCTGGGCCACCGTGAGCTCACCGTCCCTCTTCTTGGAGCTGAAAGTCAAGAGCAGAGGTTAGCTGGGAGGCCTGAGCAGCTGTGCGTGGGGCCCAGGGAGGGCCTAAGACAAAATTCACTTCCGTTTGAGCCAAGGGCCCTTTTGCTCTTGGGACTTGACTCATTCCCCACTTTCTGATAAGGGAGCCTCACCTGTGGGCATAAAAAGTGACCCTCCTGAAACCTGCCCCACACCTTCAGGACTCTTTTCAAATACAAGTGTTCAAAACCCCCTAAGGATGGGTTTTCATGTCCTTTTCTGAGATTTTTAATTGTGAAAAGAATCAGGAGAGAGTGCTAATGTGTAATTTATTAAAGTTATAAATTAAAAGCCTGGCCTTTGAAAGTTGACCTCCTGCGTGAACTTTAGTTATTTCTTTCACACAGGATCACCTGGTATTCTAATGGACAATGATCTCCAATATCAAATATTTAAGATGTCAAATGGATTCTTAAATATACAACAATTAATAGCATGAACGTTAGACTCCTATACATTTCTGAATGTAATTCTGCATTTTCTTGAAAGCTTATCCACCTATTTCCCAACTTGTTGGGCCATCTCAGTTCTTGGGGACACTAAGGTCTCAGTACTGGGGACACAGGGCTGGGCCACTCTGCGGGGCTGTCCTATGCACTGTGGGAGGTGGAGCAGCATCCCTAGCCCCACCCCTTTGAGGACCACAAATATCTCCAAGCACCACCCAGCTCCCTGGGGCAGTCACCCTGGATGAAAACCACTGGGGACACTGCATAAGCTCAGTGAACGGAGGTGGCACAGAGATCAGAGACTTCAGTGTGGAGAATGCTGTCCTCACTCCATCTGCCCGCTCACACGAACCAGAGACAGAGAAATAAGTTGCCTATTAGACATGAACCTGTTTTAAGGCAGATGAGCCCTAACCAATTTGGCTCAATGAATACAGCGTCGGCCTGCAGACTGAAAGGTCCCAGGTTCGATTCCGGTCAAGGGCATGAACCTTGATTGTGTGCACATTCCCAATGTGGGATGTGCAGGAGGCAGTTGATGTTTCTCTCTCATCCATGTTTCTAACTCTCTATCCTTCTCCCTTCCTCTCTGTAAAAAAGCAAAAAAATATATTAAAAAAAAAAAAAAAGACAGATGAAGCAGGGAAGGGAGGTATGGAGTGGGCATGTGGCAGATGGGAGCTGCACCTTTACGTGGACTACCAGGTGCAGTAGTTCCAGCACAAGAGTGTTCAGGCCCAGCAAGTTCAAGATTAGCAACTCTTGAACTCATGGCAGCTCTCCTAGGCTTGTGCACCCGTTTCTTAAGAGCTTCAAGGCGTTCAAGTAGATGCCTTATCTCTGTTACCATAATTCCAGAAGGATAATGTGAGAGAATCTGGCCTACTTGTTGGGTCCTCCACTTGGCAACCTGCAATTCTATCATCATAGGGATTTGGTGATGAATTTGTCAGGAACAGAAAAGCACTGGAGCCCAGCCAGTGTGGCTCAGTGGTTGAGCATTGACCTATGAACCAGGACGTCACGGTACTATTCCTGGTCAGGGTACATAACGGGGATTGGGCTAGATCCCCAGTGGGCATGCAGGAGGTAGCCGGTCAATGATTCTCTCTCTTCACTGATGTTTCTCTCTCTCTCTTCCTCTCTGAAATAATATGAAAGAAAGAAGAAAAACAAAGTTGGAGGAATCATAATTACCAGTTTTCAAGTTATACTACAAAGCCACGTAATCAAAACAATACTGGTACAAAAACAGGCATATAGATCAATGGAACAGAACAGAGAACCCAGAAATCAACCCAAGCCATTCGCTCAATTAATATTTAACAAAGGAGGCAAGAGAATACAGTGGAATCAAGACAGTCTCTTCAATAAATGGTTCTGGAAAATTGAACAGATACCTGCAAAAATATGAAACTAGATAACCAACTTTCACCATACACAAGGAAAAACTCAAAATGGATAAAAGACTCAAATGTAAGTCATGAAACCATAAAAATCCTAGAAGAAACCATAGGCAGCAAAATCTCAGACATCTCTCACAGCAATATGTTTACAGACACATCTCCTAAGGCAGTGGTCAGCAAACTGCGGCTCGTGAGCCATGGTTTCCCATTCTGTTGACTAATGAGTTTGCCAACCACTGTCCTAAGGCAAAGGAAACTAAGGAGTAAATAAACAAATGGAACTACATCAAAATAAAAAGCTGTACAGCAAAAGAAACCATCGACAGCCCTAGCTGGTTTGGCTCGGTGGATAGAGCGTCAGCCTGCAGACCAAAGGGTCCCGGCGACCCAAGAGGCCCTGATATCTGGGATGTATTTCTCGCCTATAATTGAAACTTTGTAGCCTTGAGTGGAACTAAGCCTCCTGCTGGCTCCATGTTGCAGCCATTTTGTTAGGATTTCTCTTCTATAATTGAAACTTTGTAGCCTTAAGCGAAGGTCAAGGCAGGCCAGGGCAGGCGGAAAGCTTGGCTTCCTCCATCTCCAGGAGCAACTCAAGCCTTCTGCTTTCTCCAGCTCTGTGGCTGCTAGCATTTTTGTTTAGATTTATTTATCTTCTATCATTGAAACCTCATAGCATTGAGTGGAGGCCTGGGCCAGCAAGGATAGGCAGAAAGCTTGGCTTCCTCCATTGCCAGGGAAACCTCTGCTCTCTGTGGCCACAGCCATCTTGGCTGGGTTTATTTGCATATTTACTCCTATTGGCTTGTGAGCGTGGCTTGTGGGTGTACGGAAGGTATGGTCAATTTGCATATTACTCTTTTATTATATAGGATGGCTCATTCATTAATGTAAGACACTGACAATGGGGAGACCCAACGGCTGATTTTTGAAACCGAACTTTCCATTCATTTTCCTGTAAACCTAAAACTGCTAAAAACAAACAAACAAACAAACAAAAACCCCTCTGTTAAAAAAAGGAGGGGGACAAAGCCTAGCCAGTGTGGCTTGGTGGTTGAACATCGAATCATGCACCAGGATGTTGTCGGTTCGATTCCAGGTCAAGGCAGATGCCCAGATTTCGGGCTTGATCCCCAGTGGGGTGCATGCAGGAGGCAGCTCATCAATGTTTCTCTCTCATCAATGTTTCTCTCTCTCTCTCTCTCCCTAAAAAAATCAATTAATTTTTTTTAATCTATTAATCAAAAAACGAAGAAAAAAATGCCACAAATATGAAGGTGGCTGTTGGCACTACCAGAGGAACTCAGGAAACCAGGGTCCAGGCCTTGGTCCTGGTCACTGCTGAGCTGAGGGACCGTGGGCAAGTCCCAAACCCATGCCTCAGTTTCCCACTCTGTAAAGAGATGATGATAGCCTGGCCTTGCTAGGGTCACTGTGTGGATGAAAGGGGATCATGCCTGAACTTGGTGTTACTCATGGTATCCCCTGTATTACTTTAATAGTTGATGTATTTAAATTATTTTATTACACCCTGGCTGGGTGTCTCAGTTGGCTGGAACACTGTCCTATTCACCAAAAGGTTGTGGGTTCAATCCCTGGTCAGTGTGCATCGGGAGGCAACTGATAGATGCTTCTCTCTCTCCAGAAACCAATGAAAGCATATCCTCAGGTGAGGATTAAAAATTACTTTGGCCATACGTGGTCTGGCTCAGTGGATACAGCATTGGCCTTCGGACTGAGGGGTTCCAGGTTTGATTCCAGCTAAGGGCACATGCCCAGGTTACGGACTCAATCCTCAGTGCAGGGAGTGCAGGAGATGGCTGGCCAATGATTCTCTCTCATCACTAACATTTCTATCTTTCTCCCTCTCCCTTTTTTTTTTTTAAATCAATAAAAATATCTATATTTTTAAATTACTTTGCCCTAGCTGGTTTTACTCAGTGGTTAGTGTCACAGGGGGCTGACAAGCCCCTGACTCTAGTGCCTGCCCTGCCCTGTACACACTACAGCCCTAGAATCAGAACACCACCACTCCAGCTGTGCCCCTTACCTTTTGTTGGCCTCTTCCACCTCAGACCTCAGTTTCCCTATTTCAATCTGCAGCCGGGCCCGCTCCCGGGCAGTCTCGTCCAGCACTCGACGGGCATCGGCCAGCTCCGACTCGTACAGCGTCTTAATGCCGCTCACCTGGGGAGAAAGCGCCGGGTGAAGGAAAGCCCCACAACAGCAGGTGTCCAGGGCGGCCTGCCATCCGACACGGCTCCTGCTGACCCGGGAGGCCTCCGACCAGCTCAGCCCACCAACCCTGGGAGGCCCAGGCTGCCTGACCTGCCCCATCCCTGTCCCCTAGCAGTTGGTTGCGCAACTTCTATTTCCCATCAGCCTTCCCACATGGAGGTGCACGTGTTTACAAATACCTGGAGCCAAACCAGGGCGGTGAGATGCCACCTCACCCCACTGGGACAGCTAAAGAAGATGGATGGTGACAAGTGCCGGGGAGGCCGTGGGGAAATGGGAACCTCCATCATAAAGGTGCAGCCACTGTGGAAGGCAGTCTGGTGATTGCTTAGATGGTTAAACAGAGAGTAACCATACAACCCAGCAAATCCACTGCTGGATCTCCACCCAGGATAAATAACACATTTACACAAAACCTGCACATGTGTTCACAGCAGCACGATTCACAACTGCCAAAAAGTGAAAACACAAATGCTCTTTGATGGATGAATATGACTGTGGTCCCGCAGAATACCGAATGTTACTCAGCCATGAAACGGGATAAAGCGCTGACTCTCACTACAGTGTGGATGAGCCCTGAAACAGTGTTCAGTGAGAGAAGCCAGGCCCAAAAGGCCAGAATGTGTGATGCTATTGATGTGAAATGTCCAGGACAAGTAAGTCCAGAGACAGAGGGTGGGTTAGTGGGTGTCAGGGGCCAGGGAGTGACTGCTGATGGGGACAGAGTTTCTGTGGGGGTGAATGTTCTGGAATTAGTGGTGATGACTGCATACTTTCAATATATCAAAAACCACTGAGCTTCAGAGTTTAATTAGGTGAACTGTATCAGATGGAAGTTATATCTCAACAAAACTGTTAAGTCGCCATGTGGTGCTGACAGATGGGCGACAGCAGGCCACCCTCGGGGCAGCTGGCTTGGACAGCTGCACCCTGTGCCACAAAGCTACAGGACACCAGCGAGTATCTGTGCTGGGGGTGGAGTCAGCTTAGATCCTGAGGGGGCCCCAGGAAAGGCCCCTGAGCAGGGGGTTCAGGGGAGCTGCCAAGGACTTGTCAGTAGGGTGACCAATGGTCCCGGTCTCCACAGGACAGAGGGGTTTCCTGATGTGGGATCTTCCAGAATGTCCTGGGCTAATCTGGACAAGGGGGAACTTAAGAACCAGGCTCCGACTCCCACCTCCCTCCTTCCCAAGCCTGGATATTCCACCTTACTGCAGCAGCTCCAAAACCTGTCATCCCTCAGTTGGTTCTTGGATCCATTTCACAGATAGGAAAACCAAGGCACAAATCAATAAACTGCCCTCTCCTGAACTGTGCAAATACAGGATAGAGCAGGTCTGCTGGGGACAATTCTGAGGGGGTCAGGATACACAGTAAGGTGAGCAGACACAAAGCAAATTCCTCCCTCCTGCACCCTGGCCACTCCCCACTCTCCGTGCTCCCCTCCACACACACAGCAAGGGCCCTCTCTCCCACCAACAGCAGTCACCTTGGGTCATCCCCTCCACTCCCATCTTCTAGGAACTGCCTTTTGAAATAAACTCAATTCACAAAAAACTGCTGGCCCTACTCTCTAAAGACAGCTGAGCACCTGGGTTCACATGCCTGTCTTTGCTCTGTCTTCTTCTATCTCACCGTCCAGAACTCTGCGGACGCCAGGAGGGCTGGTGCACTGGGGGAGAAGCCACAGACAAGGTCTCCTGCCCCCAAGCCTGGTGCCTAACCCTGGCCAGTGGCTCTGTTGGCTGGAGTGTCGTCCGCATATACCAAGGTTTGATCCCAGTCAGGGAACATACAAGAGTCGACCAATGAATGCATAAATAAGTAGAACACGCAATGCTTTTCTCTAAATCAATAAAAAAAGAATAGGAAGATGGGTGCCTATTGGAGCCCTTTCTCTCCCACCCTCCTCTCTTCGAACAGGAGAGTCTCCAACTGCAGCGACACAACAAAGATCCAGGTCAGAGCTCAGGAAAAAGGGAAAACCAGCAGTTCTGAAACTGGGCTTAAGTTTTGGGTAGTTTGTTCACTGCCAGAAGCTGATCACTGATTTAATAATAGAGAGCTGAGGACAGGGAATTCGGAGGACTGGTCAACCTTAATTGCTCTAAAGCAGTGTTTCCCAAACTTCTCTCATGACGAGAATCACCTGGTGGAGTTGTTAAACTACAGATTCCTGAATTTTGGGGAACATATAGAATTAAAATTGTATAAAATTGTATACTTAACTAGTGCTCTAGAGCTCTAGTTAAGTATACAATTTTACCTATATGTTCCCAAAAATTCTAGGTTAGCACTTCTTAGTTGGGATTCAGGAATCTGTATTTTAACAACTCCACCAGGTGATACTCATCATGAGAGAAGTCTGGGGAACACTGCAAAGGGTCAGAGCTAATTACCAGATATTGGTACCGTAGTTGAAGCAGCCCCACCTGTTAGTCCTAAATTCACTAAATGGCTTTTATTGGAGTTTCCTGCCTAGGGGACATGAGTGTATCCTATAATTTTAATCTTAATAAAAGGGATGGGAAAGCCAGAGCGAGCAGTAGTCCTCTCACTTGAGCTGGACTATCGCCTGGCCTCCATTTCCCAAACTAATACTCTTCAGTCTCTTTTTCATTTGTGTGCGGCCTTCTCCAGAACCCGAGCCTTGAACCGGAACCATGAATCATGCAGGACGTGAAAGGGGTTCCAACAGTTCACCATTAATTTTTTTTGCATTAATTCCTACTTGAAAAATATTTCATTAAAACATTGCCTCGGCCAGACCATGAGAAAACACCAGATGACCCACTAGAGGGGCATCTACCAAACTCCTGGTCCCTCCTCCTCACGAGGGTCCAGGGCATGAAACGTGAATGCGTCAGAAATGTCCCAGCCTAGAGGGGTCAAGGAGATGTGACACTGTCATGGGGGATCCTGGATGGGGTCCTGGGACCTCAGGGGAAAATTAAGAAAATCTGATTTTAGAGAGGGGGCGGGCGGGGGGGGAAGGAAACATATATTTGTTATTTCCCTTATTTATACATTAATTGGTTGACTCATATGTGTCCTAACTGGAGATCAAACCCAAAACCTTGGTATGTTGGGACAATGCTCTAACTGGGCTACCCACCAAGGCCGGATATAAGATGTTAACAGGGGTACATGGGAACTCTATATTACCTTTGCCATTTTTTGTGAATCTAAAACTGGCCTAAAAATAAGGAAAAGTAATTAAAAATATACCATAACTGGGTTGGGGTACATGGGAACTCTATATTACCTTTGCCATTTTTGTAAATCTAAAACTGGCCTAAAAATAAGGAAAAGTAATTAAAAATATACCATATCCTTCATTCTCCATGACTGAGGTTTTGGTGTCCCATTAGATTCTGTGTCCAAGGTGAGTGCCTGCTTGCAGGCCCAACTCCAAGCTCCTGGGCCAGAGTTTAAAGCACTTGGTTTGGGTGGTGTTTCTGGGGTGTGTGCGTCTTAAGGCAGTTATCCTAGCCAGGTCTGCAAGCTCAGGCCTACAGGCTAGAACGCCAGCCCACTGCCTGATTTTGCCCAGCCTGCAAGTCCAGGATGGTTTTTACATTTTTAAAAATATATATTTTTTTATTTTTTACAGAGAGGAAGGGAGAGGGATAGAGAGTTAGAAACATCAATGAGAGAGAAACATCGACCAGCTGCCTCCTGCACACCCCCTACTGGGGATGTGCTCGCAATGGAGATACATGCCACTGACCGGAATCGAACCTGGGACCCTTGAGTCCCGCGGGCTGATGCTCTTTAGAGCCAAACCGGTTAGGGCGGTTTTTACATTTTCAAATGGCACAGCCAATGAGATGAATACCTTTCAGCCTGTGTAAGGCTTTACCGACAAGCAGCCTGGCCTCTCCCACTATAAAGGCCCAGGCCAGTAATAGTGACTGAGATCACCAGCCCAGAGCTGAAAAGACTCTGGCCCTTTTCACAAAACATGTGCTGACCCTGATCTATGCCCTGGGACAATTTAGAAACCCTTGTCTGAGAACAATGAACAGACAGCAGACTTCCCAAAGGCTCTTTCAGGCGACAAACAGGTGGCCCTCGCTTCCCTGCACCTGTGACCATCACTGTGGTCACTGCAGACGCCTGGGCACCGAATGGGAGATGGGATCGCTTGGGCCTTTTTCCTTTTATGGCTTGCCCAATGCCAAACAGGAGGAATCCCGACAAATGTGTGAGCACATGTTGGCGGGGGTGGTGCGGAGGGTGTGCGTGTCTGGTGTACAGATAACCAGAGGCGTCCTGTCCTGTTGCCTGTCCCTGGGGGGACAAATACACAGCTCTGCAGGTGACACCCAAACATGGGCTCTTGTGGGTGGATTCAGGCCCTACACCAAGTGGTAGCTTCTCCCTCCAGCTCCAGGAGCCCAGCCCCACACCCGCACCCCCAGCCCCAAAGCAACAGGACACCTGGGCAGGTAAGGGAAAGAAACTGAAGCCAAGAGGAACTTAACACCAGGCTGGGAAGGCTCCCTGAAAGCCACCCTCCCTGGCTCACACCACCCCTCTCCCAGCACCCACCATCTTCTCAAACAGGAATCTGGCCAGCCTCAGCCCCCACCTTCCAGAACCCCTCCAGTGATAGGGGCAGTGGTTAGCCACCAAGTACTGCCCACTCTGCCAAGAGATATCAACTGGCCCGACGGGAAAGGCCGGAGTGCATACACGGCCAGGTTTGGGTCAGCGAGTAGGAAGGAGCGTGTATGTGGACCAGACAACAGAGCAAGATGGGCACCGCCACCGGGGAGAGAGAGCGTTAGTTTTACCCTGGGCATCTGAACTGCTTGGATTTCATTACAAACTAGAGGCCCCAAACATGAAATTCCTGCAAGAGTAGGCCTTCCTTCCCCCGCTGCAGGCTCCGGCTTCCCTCACAGCCCTGGCTGCTCCCGAAGGCAGAAGGACGTGGGATCTAATTAGCATATTAGGCTTTTATTATTACAGATGTGTGGTATGCTTCTAACATTTTAAATGGCCTCCTTACGTGGCTTCTCAGCCCTTACACTACTGGCATTTGGGGCCCTCCTGGGCACTGTGCGCTGAGCAGCACCCCTGGCCCCACCCACCGATGCTAGCAGCACCCCCAGCCATAACAACAAGAACTGTCCCCAGAGCCCTGGCCGGACTGGCTCAGTGTATAGAGTGTAAGACTGAGGGCTGACAGGTCCCGGGTTCGATTTCAGTAAAGGGCACATGCCTGTGTTGTGTGCTTGATACTCAGTGGGGGGCATGCAGGAGGCGGCTGATCAATGATTCTCTCTCATCATTTTTGTTTCTCTCTCTCTCCCCCTCTCCCTTCCTCTCTGACATCAATAAAGATATATATATATATATATATATGTGTGTGTGTGTGTGTGTGTGTGTGTATATATTTATTTATTTTTTTAAACAACAGAAAAAGAAGAAAATGCCCAGACATTGCCTAGTGTCACCTGGAGGAGGATCACCCCAGTGAGACGATGCAGCACAGGTAACCTGCCTGTCCTCAGATGACACACCCACAGCACTCCCAGTACAGCCACCTCCCACCCCCTGCTCACCGCCGACTGCCTCTCTCCGTCCCCTCCACAGACTGAAGCCCGGGCCCCACTGTAGCCCACGGCCATTTGCAGGCCACTCCCTCCTTACAGCCCACTGACCACACCACTCACTGCTCCAGTTGCCTTCTTCATAGGTTATCAATCAGCTTTCTCCACTGACCAGCACTGACCCCTCACCTCCTAAGCAGCAGGGAGCCCAAAAGACAAGCTGGTTGGCACTCCCTAGCTCAGCTGTGAACACACCTGTCATCACCTAGAGCACCCGGCTCCCCTCACCGTCCCACGGCCCCGCCGCCACCCCTTGCTCCCAGATGTTAACTTACATTCCAGCAGCCTTACCAGCTGAGCAATAAGCCACCCCCAGACAGACCGGGGTCAGGGCATGCCCTCCAGGGGGCCCATTAAGTCCAACACTCCCAGTCAGTCTCACTCCATTTGCAGAGGGTCCATTGGGGAGTGGAGGGAGAGAGATGGGGATGACAAGAAACCGGCTCAAGCATGGGGTGCAGACCAGCCTCACAGGGAGAAACTAGGCTGCAATCCGAGGGCCCTCACACTGCTAAGGCGGGGAGGGGGGTGTGTTCAACAATTTGGAGGGACAATTCCAGCCCCACCAAACAGATAACAAAACTGAGGCTCCAAGGTCACCTAGATTAAAAGCAGAATTTGGACCCTGAGTTTGAATACAATCCCAAGCAACTGAGAACTCCACCAATTACCTTACGGCCTCTCCCCCAACACCCCAGCTCCACTTTCTGCGTGGCTTCCTGTCCCAGGCCCTACGAAACAGGGACACAGACCCCAGACCAGTGCTTCTGCTGGGCACCTGTCCCATATCCCATTGCCTCTGTTTTACAGAACATCCACTCATCCTAGCCCCACAGACAAGCCCAAAAGGTATTAATACCTCCACTTTACAGAGGAAGTAGAGAGACTCAAGGTCACTTAGAGGGCAAGCAGCTCCCAAAAATGACCCCCCAGCTGCTCTCCTGCCATAAGACCCTCATTTGGCCCATTTTTCGGATGGGAAAGGGGAGGCTCAGGTCCTGGCTCTCGCACCAAGGCCACAGGGAAGCACATGGGGGGCACCCCCCCTTATTCAGAAGGCCCACCCTTGGGCCTCGCCTGGCTCACATCCAATCACTCAGGGGACCCCCCAATTCCTCGAACTCCTTGGTGTCCGGGGCTATCCCAGATCCCCTGGGGAGTCCTCAGAGGCTGGGTCTGCCCAACACCGCATCCCTGGGGACCACCCCCCCACCGTGGGCAGACCCGCCTCTGAGATGGAGAAAAGGAGAGGTGGCTCTGGGTAGGTCCCCAGCCTCGCAAAGATCCCACAGGATCCCTGAGGCACTGGGTCCCACATCCCCTTAAGGGGCGGGGCTTCCGCGGCCCCTCTGCCCTCCGTCTGCAGTGAAGTCCGGGCCCAACCTGGAACCCCAATATTCCCTCTGGTTCCCCAAGACCTCCCGCCTCCTCCGCCCCTCGGGGAGACCAGGCTCCCGCCCAGGAGCCATGGAGTGCGGGGCCAACTGAGAGCTCCCCAAACCCCCCACCTGGCCCGCGAGGCGTCAGCCACCTCCACTCGGACCCCGCCCCAGCTCGGGGAGGAGATGGCGCCTTTCTGCCCGGCCCCCGCCCAGCCCCGCACTCCCCGGACTCAGCACGGGGCCCGCGCCAGGCGCCACGGAGAACCGACCGCGCGAGCTGCCCAGGGCCCCTCCGCAGGCCCCTGTCAGCCTGGGCTTCCCAGTCACTTCGGAGGCCGGGGAACCGCCCCCCCATTTTCTCCCGGGACGCCCGAACCCCAAACGCCTCGGGGGAGCGCCCCGTAACCCCCTTTGGGGCGGGGCCGCGCCTGGTGCACAGTCACTCCGGGGACCCCCCGGTTTCCCCAAACCCTTGGTGGGCGGGGCCTGCCCGCCTCCACCTGTCGCACGGCGGGGGGTGGGCCCAGGCCCCCGAGGAGTCCCCGAGGGCTAGGTCTGCCCAGCACTGCACCCCTGGGGACCCCAAAGCCTCCCGGGGACCCCGCCCGGGACTCCCCGGGTGGGCGGCGCCCGCCCCGCGTGCACGCCGCCTCAGGCCTCCCAGCCCCCCGGGGACCCGTCGGGGAACCCCCCCAAGGCCGCAGCCCCGGCCCACCTCGCGCGTGGACACCTCCTCCCGCTCCGAGATCTTGACCAGGAGCCGGTCGTTCTCCAGCTCCAGCGCGCGGACGCGGTCGATGTAGTGCGCCAGGCGGTCATTGAGCTCGCGCAGCTCCTCCTTCTCCTGCATCCGCGACAGGCGCGTGGGCGACAGCGGCGTGGCAGGCCCGCCCTTGCGGCCGGACAGCGGCGTGGCCGTGGCCATGGCGGCGGCGGCGGCTCCTCGCGGCCCGCGCGGCTCCCCACGGCGGCCACGGCTCGGCGGGCTCATTCAATCCGCGCCGCCGACCAAGATGGCGCCGGCCGCCCGCTGCCGCCCGCGCTAGGCAGCCTGGTACTTGTAGTCCGGCCGAGTGCCTTGCGGGGCATGCCGGGAGCTGAAGTCCCTGCGCGGGTTGGGAGGGGGCACGCCCGCTCAGCCTCTTGCTGTTTCACTAGCTACACATTAAACTGCTAGCCTAAGGCCTCCGGTCCAGAGCGAAACCGTTGGACTTCAAAATCGCAGCTCCTTGCCCTAGCCGGGTTGACTCAATGGTTAGAGCGCCGGCCTGCGGACTGGTCCCAGGTTCGATTCCAGGGTTGCGGGCTTGCACCCTAGTGGGGGATGTGCAGGAGGAAGTCAATTAATGATTCTCTCTCATCTTTGATGTTTCTCTCTCTCTCTCTTTTTTACTCTGTGAAATCCATAAAAAAATATACATTTTTTAAAAATTGCAGCTCCGCCACTGAGGTTTCTTTACAATGCCTCGATTTCCCCATTCAATCTCTTTGAAGTCAGACTAAAAGTAAAAATGGTGCTGAAACCGGTTTGGCTCGGTGGATAGAGTGTTGGCCTGCAGGCTGAAGGTCCCAGGTTCAATTCCAGTCAAGGGCATGTACCTTGGTTGAGGGCACATCCCCAGTGGAGGTGTGCAGGAGGCAGCTGATCCATGTTTCTAACTATCCCTCTCCCTTCCTCTCTGTAAAAAATCAATAAAATATATTTTTTAAAAGTAAAAATGGTGAAAACCCCTTAAAAATATGCTCAGTGATCTCACTCATACTTGACTTAAAAAAGACACACACAAAAAAACATAAAAACAAACCACAAACTCATAGATACAGAAAACAGATGGGGGCAGGCAGGAATGCGTGAGGGGTCTAAAGGTACAAATTTGCAGTTTTAAGATGAATAAGTAATGGGGATGTAATGTATCGCATGGCATGGCTACAGTTAGCAATACTCTATTTTAAAGTTGCTAAGAGAGATCTTTAAAGTTCTCGTCACAAGAAAAAAAATTGCAATTATGTATAGATGTTAACTAGATTTACGGTGGTGATCATTTCCCAATATATACAAATATTGAATCGTTAGGTTGTACACCTGAAACTGTTATTACGTTTAATTAAGAAAAAGCATGTCCAGTGAAAGAAACTAGACACAAATTCCGCATACTGTGTGATTCCACTTATATACACTGCCCAGAAGAGGCAAGTGGATGAAGTAGGGTCTGGGCACGGTGGAATGTGGGCCCCATCCCACGCTGTGGCTGATCACCATTCTGTTCCTTCAAGGATGAGGAGCAACATCTTTGCTCTCTCCCCGCCACTGCCTGATGTCACTGGCAGCACCACCACCTCCAATGGCGGCAACCAAAAATGTCTCCAGATATTGCCCCATGTCACCTGGGGGGCTAATTGCCCCCAGTTAAGAAGTACTTCCTGCCGAAGCCTGTTTGGCTCAGTGGATAGAGCATTGGCCTGCGGACTGAAAGGTCCTGGGTTCGATTCCGGTCAGGGGCATGTTATATGTTGGTTGCGGGCACATCCCTGGTAGGGGGTGTGCAAGAGGCAGCTGGTCGATGTTTCTCTCTCATCGATGTTTCTAACTATCCCTCTCTCTTCCTCTCTGTAAAAAATCAATAAAAATTAAAATTAAAATTAAAAAAAAAGAAGTACTTCCTGCCCAGCTGGCATATAATTTTATTTTTTTTTTTTTTAAGGAGTACTTCTTTTCTGTTGCTCTGGAACCTGCCAGCTGTTCCTTCTGCCAGAATCCCACCTTTCCACACGTGCACCTGGGCATTTGATCCCGCCCTCCTCGGGGACCCAGCCAGTACACCCGGGGTGTGTGTGTGTGTGTGTGTGTGTGTGTGTGTGTGCTCCCCTGCCCTGCACACCTGAGACAGAGGCCCGGCCTTGGAACCCAGGCAGGCAGCAGTGAATCCCTGGCTAAACTGGGCCTATGCTGTTTTCTGAAAAGTTACCTTGTGCCTGTGAGCCCATTGGTTTTGTTTTTTCTTTTTCTCCTACTGGTAGGAATATAAAATATTTATGACAGTTGGGATTTAAACAAAAATACGAATAAGTGATACTTCAGGAGGCAGATCAAGGGGAGAATATGATTGAGGTTTGGGGTGGCATGGAGTTACCTTTCCTGTCCTCCACCCCCCAGACTTGGCTGCAAACCTCTCCCCATTGAAGAACCTGATGCCCACCCGCCTGCCATGCAGGCTCTGTGGGCTCCCACCCTGCCCAGCGCCTGGCCCTCTTGGCACGTGCCACCCCATCCCGGCCGCGCGGGCCTGTGCTCCCTCTGCCCCCTGGAGCCTGGCCCCTAAGCTAGGTCTGACCTCTCAGCGGGCCCTTGGGGAGACCCCTCCAACCCTACCCTCCCCCCACCCCCACCTCCCCACCCCCACCCTCACCCACCCCCGGGGCTGGACTCCAAGTCCCAGAAAGCCCCGCGCTCCCCGGGGTGGGGCCGGGCTCCCGCTCCCGCTCACGGCTCGGGAGGCGCCGGCGATTTTCAAATTTTGGCGCTAAAGCGGGCGGGGCGGCGGCGATGGGCCACGATCGCCCTCCCCCTTCCCGGGCCTGGCCGAGATGGCCCGTCCGCTCCGCGGGCTCAGGGTTCGAATCTGAGACCCCGGGACCCCAGGGGGCTGGGACGTCACGGGCCACTGCGGTCTGCTGCGAGGGTGGGGGTGCGGGCGGCGGGCGAGACTCCTCCAGCCCAGAGCGCCCCCCGCAGCCCAGAGCGGTCTTCCCGCCTCCGTCCCCCCATTCCCCCCCCCCCCCCATCCCGGCGCCGCCGCCGCCCACCTCCACCGGGGGCAGCGCCAGACTTCTCAAAACCTCAGGGCGGGGCTGAATCCTGGATCCTGGATCCCCGAGCCCAGATGGGGGTGGAGGTGTGGGGGGGGGACTGACTGCAGTTCTGGACTCCGGGCCTGGAGGGCCTGGGTTCCAGGGTTGGGATCTGGGTGCTCTCCCACCCAGAGCCCCAGGTGAGGGGAGTCTGGACCCCGGTTCACAGCCAGGAGGCTAACCCCGGACTCCAGGCTCCGAACGTGGGGACTTGGGGCTGGAACCTGGTCATCCCCACTGAAACTTTGGAGGCGGGCAGTGCTGGAGTTTATGGGAACAGCTTTTGTTCCCATGAGTAAACGGAATCAGGGAATCGGTAAATATTGATCCTCCCCTGGGTCCTGGCACTGGGACTGCCTCAGAGTCCAAAGCAAAGACCCTGCTCCCGGGGCGCTGGCCTGGGCAGAGGAGGGGGACAGAGAGGACACCAGTACCTGTAACAAGCAGGTTACTGGCCTACTGTGACACGTAGGTTACTATAACAAGTACCCGTAACAAGCAGATTCCTGCTGGAAGATAGTGAGCATGCTGAAAGTGGGCTCACTGGCTTGGGGGCCGGTGGGGTGGGGGGCAGCATTTTAAATATATATATATATTTTATTGATTTCAGAGAGGGAGAGATAGAAACATCAACGATGAGTGAGAATCATGGAAGGGCTGCTTCCTGCATGCCCCACAGTAGGGATCAAGCTTGCAACCCAGACATGTGCCCTGACCGGGAATCAACCCGTGACCTTTTGGTTCATAGGTCGACACTCAATCACCAAGCCAGGCCAGACGGCGGGGCTGCCTTTTTAAAGAGGTGGCCTCCTGGAGAGGGTGCCCGTGAGCGGGGACTTAGAGAGAAGGCGGGAATGCCCCCATGAATAGCGGGGAGAAAGCCTCCGGGGGAGGGGCAGCCAATGCAAAGCCAGTTCCAGGCCGGTGCACCTGGCAATGGAGGAGAACTGTCTGCGATATTAAAGAAGCAGAGGCATCAGGCCAGCAGCGGAGGTTTTCCTGGTTTCCAACCCAGCGGCCAGAGGGTGAAATCCTCCCTGAGCAGATCCTCAACAGCCACTGTTTGGCCAGAGAGAAGGAAGGGAATAAACCCAGCGACGCCCGCCTGCCCGCCCGCCCGCCCGCCCGCCAGAGGCCCCACGTCCGCCCAGCAGCAGCAGTCCAGGGTGTCTAGCTGGGAGGCGCCTGTCCCCAGGCAGCAATCTCTGCCCAGTGGCAGCAGCCCGGCCTATACGTCTGGGAGGTGCCAGCAGCGGCAGCCTGGGCTGAGGTCTCAGGCGGCAGGGCCTGGCACCCCCACTGCGCAATCCCCCTGCCAGCGGTGGCAGCCTGGGCTGGGGTCTCAGCCTGGCCAGGGTGCGATCCCCTTCCAGGGGTGGCAGCCTGGGGTCTCAACCATTGAGACACACCAGCCAGGCAGATATGGAGGAATTTTAAATGTTTCTTTTTGAAAATATATATTTTATTGATTTTTTACAGAGAGGAAGAAAAAGGGAAATGGATAGAGAGCTAGAAACATCTATGAGAGAGAAACATTGATCAGCTGCCTCCTGCACACCTCCCCACTGGGTATGTGCCCCCAACCAAGGTATATGCCCTTTACCGGAATCAAACCTGGGTGCCTTGAGTCTGCAGTCCAATGCTCCATCCACTGAGCCAAACCAGCTAGGACTGTCCAATATGCTAAAGAAAAAACCCTATCTAATAAAGAGGGAATATGCAAGGGAGGGCATTTAGGAGTACTGGGGTTTCAGGGGAGGGCAGTTGGGGACAATCGGGCTGGCAGGGGAGTGGTTAGGGGGTGATCAGGCTGGCAGGCAGAAGCGTCAGGGGCAATCAGGAAGGCAGGCAGGGGAATAATTGGGAGCCAGCAGTCCTAGATTGTGAAAGTTAATAATCAAGTAGTTAATAATCAACCAATGAATGATAAATGAGTGGAAAAACAAATCTTTCTTTTTCCCTCTTCCTCTCTTTCTCAAAAACAAAAAGAAAATAATTTAAAAAAAAAGCAACAACAAAAATGCCCAAACTAGCCATGTTATTTAGGGGTGCTCCAATGGGGTATAGTTGAAAGGAAAGTGGGGACCCCGGAGCTTGTACCTGGGGTCTGAAGCAAGGGCACTCTTTCTGGAATGGTGCCCTCCAGCTATCTAATTGGCTAAACTCGGTGCATCCG